GTGTGTGTGTGTTTATTCATTCTTGCTTAACCCTCAAACCGTAGAAGCTCATAATGAAATTTTTCTAAGTGAAGGCTCAGCAAGAAATTTGTCCAAGGCAAAGGTGCTAGGAAGCAGTAGAATTGAGATTTGAGCCTGATTTCTTATGCCGATCTCATAACATGTCTAGGAATGAATGAAATAGCTGTGGTTCCTGTGACCCTTCAGCTGGGGCAGGTATGGACATAGACTCAGGGGCCAAATAGCTTTTGTTCCGTTAACATCTCTGATTTCTTTGCGTTGTCCACTTACCGTTAACAGTATGCCATTTATGAAGTAGGATGTGCTGTTTCCTCAGAGTTTCCTTGTAGATTCAACAACAAAAACATAAAAATGAACTGTGACCCATTTTTGAGGGTATAATCGAGAGGACACAGGAAGAAAGATGTTTTACTTCGTGCCAGGCGGAGTGTGACTGCCTAAATTGCAGGAGAGAGGGCAGTGCAGATCAGGTGGGATTGCTTCCTCTGGCTTCTTCCCAGAATTTCCAAAGTGAACCCCTGCATGTTCTTTGTTCTGTGGAAGCTTAAGGAGAAACCCAACCTAAAAACAAGGACTTAGTTTTATTTTTTGTGTGTTTTAGTCAGGATTATTAATCTTACGATGCTTGTTTTTTGGACTTGTGTTCTAAAGAATGGGCTTTCCCTATGATGGGGAAAATCTGGAAGACTGCAGTCTATTCTCTGTTGATTGGATTTTTCATGGATGTGTAGCAGATTGAAGTCTGCTACTTAATTTACACTTGATCTTAGCCAAAAGTGAGACGTGATCACGACTTATGTTAACGTGTGTATATGCGTGTGTGTGTTCATGTCTGCCACTTGTGCCTGCTGGTGGATAGGTGTCACAGCAGGCGTATAGAGAGAACAGTCTGAGAGTTGTTTCTCTGTTCATCAGGCTTGGCTTGCATGCACCTCTACCTGCTGAGCTATTTGCTAGCCCTTACTGTAATTTTAGAACGAACCTGGGACATTCTATAAGAAAGATAAACTAATACTAAAAACTTCTCCTGAGTTGAGCTTGGTGACATATGCCTGTAATCTCAGTACTCAGAAAATTGAGGCAGGAGAATTGCTGTGAGTTGTAGCCACTCAAGACTACCTGGAAGATTGTCTCAAAAAACAGTTTAGCTGTAGTGACTCACGCCTTTAATTCCAGTACTTGGGAGTCAGAAGCAGGTGGATCTCTTGAGTTCTAGACCAACCTGGTCTATAGAGTGAGTTCCAGAACAACCAGGGCAACACAGAGAAACTCTGAAAAAAATTGAAGAACAAAAAAGCAAGCAAGCAAAACCTAATTAACTCTCCCCTACCTCACTGCTCTCTTCAGTAGAACATAAATTGCTTTTATTTTTATTTCTTTTAGTTAAAATTGACTGTGACAATCATGATATCTGAACTATAAAATTCTAGAATTATCATGCTGTTTGCTACATGGGATTTATATTTTATATTCAAAATTATGTTGTGGATGGTCTGGAGAGATGGCTCAGAGGTTAAGAACACTGACTGCTCTTCCAGAGGTCCTGAGTTCAATTCCCAGCAACCACATGGTGGCTCACAGCCATCTATAATGAGATCTGGTGCCCTCTTCTGGCATGCAAGCATACACGGAAGAAATGTTGTATACATAATAAATAAATAAATCTTAAAAAGAAATTATGTTGTGGAGGTTGAGGAGATGTCTTAGGTAAAGTTTTCCTGCTGCCAGACCTGAGGACTGAATTAAGTCTCTGGGACCCACAGGAGACCTGATTTCCCCAAATTATCCTCTAACCTCTGCGTATATGCTGTGGCTCGTGCCTACAAACATGCAACAGCTAGTGTGTATGTGTGTAGACTGTTGACACATATACCGAGTGGTGTCTGATTTTCAGTATATAACATATTCATAAACCATGATTGCTTGCTTTGAAATAGGATTTTACTGTGTAGTCCAGTCTGTCCTTGAACCTTGATCCTCTTGCTGTAGCCTTTTGAATACTGGGCTTTGTAGGCACGTATATGTTGACAGCAGGTATATGTTGACCAGTGATCATGTTTTCATAACCAACTTATTTATCCTTTAAAAAATATAATTAAGGGGGGCTGGAGAGATGGCTCAGTGGTTAAGAGCATTGCCTGCTCTTCCAAAGGTCCTGAGTTCAATTCCCAGCAACCACATGGTGGCTCACAACCATCTGTAAAGAGGTCTGGCGCCCTCTTCTGGCCTTCGGGCATACACACAGACAGAATATTGTATACATAATAAATAAATAAATATAAAAAAAATAAAAAAAATATAATTAAAATATTACCTAGGTTGGTTATTTCCTCAGTTTAGGAACTTAATATAGATAGCTTTCTGACTTCTTGGTGTGGTGGCCAATGCTTTTAATCCTAGCACTTTAGAAGTAGAGATAGGCAGGTCTCTGAGTTGATGCCAGCCAAGGCTGTGACCATTTTAACTTCGCTTGTGTGATGTCTCAACAAAAATAGGGAAAAAAAAGAAAGCTTTCATTTTGAATTATTATGCCCTCCAAAAGCTGTTAACATAATCCAAGAACTTTTCTTTTTTTGTATAAAAATAAGAGTCTCACATATTAGGTTAATAATCACTAGTACATCACAAATAGCAGATCAGACTTTTCCAATAATTTTTGTTTCTGATTTTGTTCCTCCTGGATGCTCTCAATCAGAGTTAAGTTTATTTTGATCAAGGCATTCATTTCTCACTATTTCTAGTAATATATCATGTTATATTCAATAGATATTGAGGCTTTTAGCCATACTGTACCTCAGTGAGCCAGTAAACTTTTTATAATTTCACATATGTGTAATGTATGTATTTCTTTTTCATTTGTTTTGTTTCTCTGTGTAACAGCTCTAGCTGTCCTGGAACTCACTTTGTAGACCACATTGGTCCTGAACTCACTAAGATCTGCCTGTCTCTGCCTCCCAAGTGCTGAGATTAAAGGCGTGGGCCACCAACACCTAGCTAATGTATATATTTCAAACCATTATATTACATTAGAGGTTTTTTTGTTTGTTTTTCTTTTTCTTTTTTTTAAGACTTATTTATTTATTATGTATACAACATTCCTTCCATGTATGCTTGCAATGCCAGAAGAGGGCACCAGATCTCATTACAGATGGCTGTGAGCCACCATGTGGTTGCTGGGAATTGAACTCAGGACCTCTGGAAGAGCAGTCAGTGCTCTTAACCTCTGAGCCATCTCTCCAGCCCCTGTTTTTGTTTTTCAAGACAGGGTTTTTCGTAACTTTGGAGCCTGTCCTGGAACTCGCTCTGTAGACCAGGCTGGGCTCAAACTCACCGAAATTTTCCTGCCTCTGCTTCCCGAGTGCAAGAATTAAAGGTGCGCACCATCACTACCCGGGCTGTTACAGTGTTTTTATGTCTGGGGCTATAGAAGGAAAACAATGGACACTGTTATCCCAGTACTTGGAAGTCTCAGGGAGAAGGATTCAGAGTACAAGGCCTACGTGGACTACATAAAGAGATTCTGTCAAAACAGAATAGTAATGAAACAGGATATACATCAAGTATACATTTCTTGCTAACACTGTGTGTTGTGTGTTGTGTGTTTTTGTTTTTGTTTTTTTCCCTGGAGTCAGGGTTTCTCTGTAGCTTTGGGGCCTGTCCTGAAACTAACTCTTGTAGACCAGACTAGCCTCGAACTCAGAGATCTGCCTGCCTCTGCCTTCAAAGTGCTAGGATTAAAGGCCACCACTGCCCAGCTTGGTGTTGTTTTGTTCTTCCTCTTTGGCTTTTTGAGGGGCCTACCACCTGGCTCCCAAATAAATTCACACAGCTTATTCTTAGTTATAAATGCCAGACCTTAGCTTGGCTTGTTTCTAGCCAGCTTTTCTTAAATTATCCTGTTTATCTTTACCTCTGGGATTTTTTTTTTCTTTTCTTCTGTGTATCTTATTTTCACTCTTACTCCGTGGCTGGGTGGGTGGGTGGGTCGCTGGCCCCTGAAGTCTTCACCCCTGTTCTCTTGTTGCTCCTCATTCTCTCTCCTCCCAGATTTACCCTTCTATTTATACTCTCTGCTTGCCAGCCCTGCCTATCTTTGCCACTGCCTCACAGTTGGCCATCAGCTCTTTATTAGACAGGCAAAGAGTCACACCTTTACAGAGATAAACAAAAGTCACACACCTTAAAATAGTGTTCCCCAACAACCTTGCATCCATAGCTTTCTGCCAAAAAGATGGCTTTGACAACTTTTGTGGACCCATGGTCAGGGTGAAAACAAAAGGATAAAGAATATCATGTGGGGCTGTTTCATGAGAGATGGTTCAGTGCTAATAGGCATTGGCTGCTCATCTGGAAGACTTGGGCATCACTCTTAGTGCTCATATGGCAGCCAACAGTGTCTGCTAACTCTGGTCCCAGGGGATCAATCCACTCTTCTGGCCTCTGTGGGCACCGCATATATGTATGCAGACATACATGCAGGTAAAACATACAAACACATTAAAAAATTAAATCTTAAAAAAATGCACAAATCCTAACCCTAATGTTAAACTAAAGAGCTAATGTCTAAGAAGACTATATCCTGGGCCAGCAATTAAGCGGGTAGAACTTTATATAAGGTTAGGCACTTCCAGGCTTATTGTTTTTTTCACACTAACTTATTTTTCTCTATCACTGATAGTTAACATTATCTCTCTGCCTATCTTAACAACTTGCTTTTAGACCGTGTGTAAAAGCTTGCCTTAAACCTGTGATCCTTTGCCCCAGTTTGCTGTGTGCTGAGTTTATAGGTGTGGTACTGTGTTTGACTTAACAGTTGGGTCTTTGACCCCGTTAAGGCCGTATTTTCTTCTCCTTTTCCACATGCACCTTCTCACAGCACCCCCAAATTGAAGGGCTAGTAAAGGGATGGCAAGGGGCACTTCCTCGGTGATATAACCTCACTTAACCATGAGTATTTTTTTCTTTTCTCTCTCTTGCAGAAATGGAAGCGAACGACCATTTTAACTTTACTGGCCTTCCCCCTGCACCAGCTGCCTCAGGACTGAAACCCTCTCCTTCATCAGGGGAGGGCCTCTACACTAACGGGTCTCCCATGAACTTCCCCCAGCAAGGGAAAAGTGAGTGTGGAGGCCTTAAGACCTGGGGAGGGAATGGCATCATTTCTTTAGATCAGAGATTGAGATCTACTTTTGGCTAGCTACCCCACAACAACTCTTTCCTGGCAGGTAGTGACAGAGGAAATAAATCCGTAGAACTTACTAATTGCTAGGGAGAAATCAGACTTCTGAGAACAAGTTATAGGGGCTTAATGGAAGCTGCTTTTTTTGTCTTGACTTTGGATTTCTAGAAGATTAGAAAAAACATAGAAGCTTTTTCATCTTAGCCTGCTCTTTGTCAGTCCTGTTCCCTGGCTACTGGGAACAGAGAAGGAGGTAGCTGCTGTTGTTAATAATGAGGAGGTGAACCTGTGGCACGTAAAGCTCTCTGGGAGCTGTCTTAAGGATTGGGAAGTTGGTTTGGACTAGGGGTGAGGGAGGTGGGCGAAGGTTATGATAAATACACTCTAACTTGTGCAGCAGGGAAGGCCTGCCGTAGAAGTGCTATGCATAGAAGGTGAGGGGCGCAGTGCTTCCTTAGAAAGCTTTTCATTCTCTGGAAGTGCTGCTGTGGAGGTGATTTCCTTTTCCTTTTTTCTTCTGGGGTAGTGACTTGCTCTAGCCAAGGATGACCTTGAACACCATGTGGCAGTCCTGCTTCAGTCTATCAGTTTCCTTTCTAAATTTTCATAGAAGTAGAATTTCATGTGCTTTTTCCTTCCTTGCAGTAGAAAAATTCTGACTTGTACTTACTTTCTCTTCTTTCTTATATAGGGCACTTGCAGATGAATGCAAGCCCTGTTATTTCACTGGACTTTCCCACACATACATACCCACCCACCTGCTGTAGTATTCCCCCCATACACAGACACCTGCTTGAAGTTTCTTTAGTATCTTGGTCCCGATAATTGTTGTCTGATGCAAACTCAAAGATGGCTATTTTCAGAGCTGTATTTTGCAGCACTGGTCATGCAAAGATTTTTACCTACTCCATATTACCCTCCTGGGGCTATGGGGAGGGGCTAAACCCAGCCTTCTGAGCTGGAATTTTATCACTGTGGTGACTGCAAATTCTATTCTTAGCCCAGCACAAAGTGCTGGATCTGCATGTGCCAGTGAGGTGGAGGCTGTCGCTTCTGGTGCCACTGTAGGGCCAAATAGGCACTAAGGAAAGAGGGTATTGGGAATTGGAAAATTCAGTCATAACCCCCCCCCCCCAAGAATTCCCATAAGGAATAGGGCGGGAAAGTCATTGTGCAGCTCCATGTAGTAGAAAGCTTGCAGCAGCAGTATCCATGGCTGCCACTAGCTCCTGTGGCATACCTAGGCCACTTCCTAGCCCCTTACTTATCTGTCTCAGCAGCAGTGCTAAGCTTAGACACGGGAACATCCAGGTTTAGTGTTCCCTTGAGACCCAAAAGCTGAAGTTAACAGAGGAGTCCCTTCACTGTTTTTGAGGTTTATTTCATAGCGTTATTGCATATATATTCATAGCTGACTCTTTTCTATTTTTTCTTCCAGGTTTGAATGGGGATGTGAATGTTAATGGCTTATCTACTGTATCTCACACTACTACTTCAGGGATTTTGAACTCTGCTCCCCACTCCTCCAGCACCTCACACCTCCAGCACCCTAACGTGGCCTACGACTGTCTTTGGAACTACTCACAGTACCCACCTGCCAATCCCAGCAACAACCTCAAGGACCCACCCCTTCTTTCTCAGTTCCCTGGGGGACAATACCCACTCAACGGTATCCTTGGGGGCAGCCGACAACCTTCATCCCCAAGTCACAACACTAATCTTCGAGCTGGGAGCCAAGAGTTCTGGGCCAATGGTACCCAGAGTCCCATGGGGCTTAACTTCGATTCACAGGAGCTATATGATTCCTTTCCTGACCAGAATTTTGAGGTGATGCCCAATGGACCTCCAAGTTTTTTCACCTCCCCACAGACTTCTCCAATGTTGGGATCTAGTATCCAGACCTTTGCACCTTCCCAGGATGTAGGCAATGGGATCCATTCTGATGAGGCAGCAGAAAAGGAGCTGACTTCAGTTGTGGAGGAAAATGGCACTGGCTTGGTAGGCAGCCTGGAACTGGAGGAAGAACAGCCAGGTATAACTGGGTCTGTGAGCTGGGTGGGTGTGGAGAGAGAAAGTGCGGTCATGGGGGGCAGTGGCCTTTTGGGGTGAGGAAAACTTGTCTTTCCAGCTCTCTGCAGTAAAGACTGATTTGCATGTTGGTGGTTAGCAGAGCCAAGTGGCTGGTGTTTTTGTGGCAGCAGCACCAGTTCAGGAGTGGGAGTGCGAATTATTTCAAGCTCTTGCAGAGCTGCTGCCCAAGAGAGGGCAAGTGGGCGCTGGGCAAGCCTGAAACAGTCCAAACACATACCGCATCAAGAATGGCTTTTTGGGGAGCTGGAGCTCCGTGGTTAAGAACACTGACTTCTCTTCTGAGGACCTGGGTTCAATTCCCAGCACCCACATGTGGCTCACATCTCTCTGTAGCTCTGGTTCTAGGGGACCTGACACCCTCACACAGATATACATACAAGTAAAACACCAATGCACACAATGCACATATGAAATAAAAATAAATAATTTTTTTTTTTTTTAAACGAAGAAAAGAATGACTTCTTGGCCTGGGAATGTCGCTCAGTGGCTAGTGTATGCCTGCGTAGCGTGCATGAATGGGTTGAATGGGTTCTACCTACCTCCAGCCCTGTGAACATCATACCGGCACATGCCTATAATCTCAGCCCTTGAGAGTGGAGGCAGGAGGAGGTCAGCCTGGGACACAGAAATGAGATAGGGTGGGGTAGGGGCTTCTAAAGCAGGTGAGTGGTGAGCACTGAAAGCCTGAGGCTATTTTAACTTTGGCAGGATTAGGTACTGCTGAAGTGGCTCAGCTCTAGTAGTGACTTACTTACTAAGGTGAGGACACAATAGGTAGAGTGCACCATTGTGTGTCTATTCAGCTCCCTTTCTTCATGTTTCGTTTGTTAATATTTATGTGTGGCAACCTATTTTGTTTCCCTAAAAATAGATTAAAATATTAGTTTGTATTTGTAGTTCATATTCACTGCAATGGTGACTGCCCTCTAAAAAAGTCAAAGAATATTTTCTCTGTTCCACTTGTTGGAAAAAAATAACTAAATATGCGGTAGGGTTCTTGTCTCCGCCTTACTGTCCATCTTCCCCTTTGATGTAAGATTGGTTTTAGCAGCATGTCTCTACTTATTAGATACTGGATAGGGTCCGTTCCTGGTTTAGACCTAGCAATAAATGTTGACTAATTAGAGCTTACTAAGAGAATGTTGTAACATAGATTTTAGTACTGGTGTGGTGGGGAAGGGGCTCCTAGGAAAGAACAGTGCACACCATGTGCCTGTGGACTTCCTGAAAGAGTTGCTTGAACATTTTTTTTCTTTTTTTTAAAGCATTTTTAATGATTTTTTTTTTTATGTGCATTGGTGTTTTACCTGCATATATGTTTGTGTGCGGGTGTTAAATCCCCTGGGACTGGAGTTATATACAGTTGTGAACTGCCTTGTAAGGGCTGGGTATTGAACCTGGGTCCTCTAGAAGAGCAGCCAATGCTCTTACCTAATGAGCCATCTCTCCAGCCCCACCTGAACACATTTTTATAACCAGCTAATACAGCTAAATTGAAGGCACAAATTTTGACTTTTGCTCTCTCCTGGGATTACCTAGAATTAAAGATGTGTGGCTACAATGGTTCTGTCTCCTCTGTGGAGTCTTTACACCAAGAAGTCTCAGTCCTGGTTCCCGATCCCACGGTGAGCTGTTTAGATGATCCTTCGCATCTTCCTGAGCAACTGGAAAACACTCCAATCCTCAGTGAAGATTCCTTGGAGCCGTTTGACTCACTGGCACCAGGTGGGCTTTAGAGGGTGTGTCTCTTTTCTGCTTACCTGAGCAGAAGGTGACTAACCCGTGACCTGGACAAGTTAGAAACCCAAGGAAAGTTTTAGGGAATCTGGGGTGTTGACTTGTGGATAAAACTTCAGTAAACCATAGTCTTACTGCTGGCTGAGCCGGCTTTACTCAGATGCATTGGTTCATTTCCCAGCCTCTTTCTGTCTTCCAGTTGGCCAAGAGCCCTTGGCTGCAATAATTCAACTGCCACACAGTTGGGCTATTTGGGTTCTAACTAACTAGAAAGGAAACATTTGCCAATTAAATATAAAAACAAGGCCAATTTTATGATAAATGCTAGATTTCTACAAGGATCTATGGATAGATACAAAGTCTTTATCTTGCTTTCATTTTCGGAGTCTTCTGTCCCCTACTTTTAATGCTAAATGGGGTTGCTGAGGTAGGAGGGCGTGACTTTGCCGTCCTGCGAAGTACACAAGTTTCAAGTCAACTCTGAGCTAGAACTGAGATTCTTCCTTATTTCCTCCCTGCTTCCCCAGTTCAGACCCTAGAAACTAGAGTTGGATATTGCTTTGGCAAGTATTTCCTAAGGAAATCTGGCTTGTTAATTTTTTTTCTTAATTTCTGCTTATAATTTCTTTTCGCCCCCATATGCAGAGCCAGTGAGTGGAGGACTTTATGGGATAGATGACACAGCATTGATGGGTGCAGAAGACAAGCTGCCTCTGGAGGACAGCCCTGTGATCTCTGCTCTCGACTGCCCTTCTCTCAATAATGCTGCTGCCTTCAGTCTCCTCGCAGATGACAGCCAAACGGCAGCCTCTCTCTTTGTCAGCCCCACCTCTCCACCTGTCTTAGGGGAGTCTGTCCTACAAGGTGAGTGAGGAGAGGTAGGAGAAATAAAAAAGTCTTCCCTTGCAAAACAGTGCATGTGTTCCATAGCTAAGCCCTTAACATGGGAAGTGTGTACCGCTGTCGTGCTGACAGACTATGAGATGCTGTCTAGTGGGAATAAAAAAGCATCCATTGTACTTTGACCTCTGCCTTCTGTGGAAACATGAAGGACTTAGGAGTTGTCAAAGAAAAGATGGCCAGAGGCCTTTCTATCTTGAGGAGAAACTGTTTCTCTCTTCATTGGTGAACATGACCATCACCAGTTTTACCTTTTAACTTCAGAGATGTTTGGGGTAGGGAAAGAGCCAGCACTGTTTTGGTTTTGTTTTGTTTTTTTGTGGTTTTTTGAGACAGGGTTTCGCTGTAGCTTTAGAGCCTGTCTTGGAACTAGCTCCAGGCTGGCCTTGAACTCACAGAGATCCGCCTTCCTCTGCCTCCTGAGTGCTGGGATTAAAGGCATCTGCCACCACCACCCAGCTAGCACTGCTTTTTTAAATTTAATTTTATGTGTATGAGTGTTCCTGTATGTATATCTATGCACTGTTTGTGTAGTGCCCTTGGAGGCCAGAAGAGGGTTTCAAACCTCTTGGGATTGGCGGTACAGAAGGGCAACACCATGTGGATGCTAGAAATCAAACAGTGGCCCTCTGAAAGGGCAGCCAGTGAGCCACAGCTCCAGTCCCTAGAGCTACTGTTCTTTTTTCACTAAAAGCCTTTAAGATAACTGTGTTTACCGTAGTGTAGGCTTGATTGAATAAACTCTTCTACCATTTTCTTTGACTGATATTATGCTTTGGATTTTAGATAACAGCTTTGACCTGAATAATGGCAGTGACTCTGAACAGGAAGAAATGGGGCCTGAGTCTTCAGACTTCCCACATCCCCTGACTGAGCCAGCCCCTGACCAGCCACCTACTGTTGAGCTACATCCAGCAGCCTCCCCAGCAGCCTCTCCGGCAGCCTCCTCTCTTGTCCCTCCTACGATCTTCCCAGCAGTGTCTCCAGCTCCTTCCCCTGCCCTCCCAGCAGCCTCTTTGACAGCTCCAGTGACTTCTCCTCAAGCTTGCCGTGCTCCTTCTCCAGCACCCGCCTTCCAGACAGTTTCCCAAGCAAGTGAAGACAGGACCAGCATTCCAGAAGCTTCTGCTGGTTTAGAGGAGACCACTGGAGAAGCTGTCACAGTTTCTGGTAGTGGTAAGTGTCCAGATTCTGTTTTGTCCCTGCCTGATTTCTACAATTTTTTTTTTCTTTCTGAGAGAGAGTTTCTCTGTAGCAATGGAGCCTGTCCTGAACTAGCTCTTGTAGATCAGGCTAGCCTTGAACTCACAGAGATCCACCTGCCTCTGCCTCCTGAGCGCTGGGATTAAAGGCACCACCACTGCCTGGCCTGTACAAAAGTTTTATGTCACATGCTGCATCTATCCCTCCTATTAACCTGTAATTTTATTTTCAGCACTCAGGAGGCAGAGACAGGCAGATCTCTGTGAGTTCAAGGCCAGCCTGATCTACAAGAGCTAGTTCCAGGACAGACTCAAACTACAGAGAAACCCTGTTTTCAAAAACAAACAAACAAACAAACAAAAAGTTTGTTTGCGACAGGATCTTATGTAGCTTTGGCTGGTCTTTATGTAGACTAAGCTGGCCTCCAGTTCACAGAGCTCTGCATGCTACATCCTCCCAAGTGCTGTGTCAACCAGCTCAGCTCTATTCTGTAAGCTGCTTGACCTTTATCTCTGGTCTTCCCTCAAGGTGATGTACTTAAGAGACGCATCGCTACCCCAGAAGAAGTTCGTCTTCCCCTCCAACATGGGTAAGTGCTCCAGATTGCCGCATGCATTGACCTTCACAAGCCTAGGAATGACTCTTAGATGTAGGATAGTTGGGAATAGAGTACAGGACAGTGAGGAGGGTGTACAGTCCCTGAAGTTGGAGTCGCAGGCTGTTGTGAAGCCACCGGTGTGGATGTTGAGTCTTCTGGCAGAGCAGTGGGTGTGCTTAACTGCTGGACTGTTCTCTAGACCAATTTCCTCTTTCTTACTTCTTTCTTTGGGTGATTTTTTTGGTTTTTCGAGACAGGGTTTCTCTGTGGCTTTGGAGCCTGTCCTGGAACTAGCTCTGTAGACCAGGCTGGTCTCGAACTCACAGAGATCCGCCTGCCTCTGCCTCCCGAGTGCTGGGATTAAAGGCGTGCGCCACCATCGCCCGGCTCTTTGGGTGATTTTTGAGAAAAGATTTCTCTGTGTAGTCCTAGCTGTCCTGGAACTCACTCTGTAGACCAGGCTGGCCTCAAACTCACAGAGATCCATCTGTCCCTACCTCCCGGGTGCTAGGATTAAAGGTGTGCACCACCACCTCCTGGCTACAATTTTCCCTTTCTTAGGGTCTGTCTTCCCTCATAAATAAATTCTTTACTCATCTGGTTACTTGGTCTTGATCAAAGATCCTTTTCCAAGCTAAGGCTCAAGTATCCAGAGTAGCTAGACAAAACTGTTTTCAAAGAGAGGGATAGCAGTGTGGAAGAGAGACTTTCTACCAGTGAATTGGGTGGTTTTGTGATGTAATAGTTTCTGTTTTATTGCTCTCTGGAGAGCTAAGCTCTGGAACGGTAACTATGTAATGACCAAACCAGTTATCATCGAAGACCTTCTAGAAATAACTGTCTTTCTTCCTAATTTCACCACAACCACTCTGGTCTACTGGCTGTCACCAAGTCTTAGTACTAATGCAACATTGGCGATGAGGATAAGGCTGGCTGTCATAATCTACTGCTCAGATCATAGCTACTGACTAAACCTGCCCTACTTAGGTCATGGCATCAGCTTCCAGTTTATTCTTACACTTTCCTCTGCACCTGAGCCAGGGCTATTAAGAGTTTCTAGCTGCTCATTTCAGTAGCTTCATAAAAAGGAGGGGTAGAGATCTTTGTGCATAGCTGCCATTTGGTGTATTGTTTTCTTCCTGAAGTATTTGCTTAAGCAATGTGAGCCTGTTTGTCAAGCTCATGTGCTGTGCTGTTTCTGTATGTAGGACTGTCTGTAGGTCGACATGTATGCAGGGCTAGTGAGACAGATGGAGAGGGCATCTGCTCAGTGGGCTTGACTCCTGGGTGGCATGGGAGTGGGTAGGGGTGTGACCTGGTGGCAGGGCCCATGTGCTTCTCTGGCAGGTGGCGGAGGGAAGTGCGCATCAAGAAGGGCTGCCATCGGTGGCAGGGGGAGACTTGGTATTATGGCCCCTGTGGGAAGAGAATGAAACAGTTTCCGGAAGTTATCAAGGTAACAGCATTTGTAGCTTTTAAAGGACTTTTTCTGGCGTCGCCTGTTCTGAGACCTATTCTGGTTGTGTTATAGCTGACATGGTAGGGCTATGGCTTTACTAATGTCACTTTTCCTCTCAGTACCTGAGCCGAAATGTGGTACACAGTGTCCGCCGTGAGCACTTCAGCTTCAGTCCCCGCATGCCTGTTGGAGATTTCTTTGAAGAAAGAGACACACCAGAGGTGCTGACCCAAGGGTTAAATAGTTGGGGAACAAATTATAGCTTCTTTTCGTATAATTTGGCAGCTCAAAGAGTCTGGGGTAGTTTAGAGGGCTTAGCGACCTGCACTGATTGTCTCCTTTCAACACCAGTGTCCTTGTTCCTGTAGGGCTTGCAGTGGGTCCAGTTATCCGCAGAGGAGATTCCTTCCAGAATTCAAGCAATTACTGGCAAACGAGGCCGACCTCGAAATAATGAGAAGGCCAAGAACAAGGAAGTTCCAAAAGTGAAGCGGGGCCGAGGTCGACCACCAAAGGTCAAAATTCCTGAGCTATTGAATAAAACAGACAACCGACTTCCAAAGAAACTGGAAACCCAAGGTACAGTATTACTTGTAGCTCAGGTATTCTGCTCCCTCCACAAGGTATTTAAAATGTTGCTGAATTGCAGTTGGTACCTGGGTTTCCCAAAAGGGACGGACACCTGGAAAGATGAATCTAAATTCGTTCTCCCCTTAGAAGGTATGATCGGAATCCTAGCATTTGCTACACTTTTTCCAGGCAACTTCTTCCTTTGAGCTACTTTTACTAGTAAAGCCTTGGGCTGTCCCCAGATAGAGTAATGCCAACAGAGAAGAGTTCCATCTTTTCCTGTTCATCTTCCAGCTCCTTGCATATACTAATTGCATTCATGCAGTTGCCATCGTTTTTGTTGTAGGGACCTAAATCCAAAAGATAATTGACATACTATTTTAGTCAGATGGGTAAATGGGAAAGTGTCTGTGATGTTTTCATTTGCTGCGGAGGGAGTTGTTTTGAGACAGTGTAATCCTCACTGTCCTGGAACTTGGGCTATGGACCAGACTGTCCTTGAACTCATAGAAATCCGCCTGTTTCTACCTCCCCCGTGCTGGGATTAAAGGCATCTGCCATCACCACCCAGTGAAAATGTCTAATTTTCTAAGTATGCATTGCATGTACAGTGTGCAGAAGATGAAATAGTCTTGTTAATTCCATTCAGAGTTCCAGCTCTGCTATCGTCTATATCTTTTCCCCAATCCTAGGACTTTGCTCTTGCCTAGCAGGTACTTTACCAGAGTTAAAACCCCAAACGCAGTGTATTTCCCATGTTTTACACATAGGCATTACTTGTGTGCCTGGTGCCTGTGAAGGTCATAAGAAGGTGTTGGATCCCCTAGAAATAGAATTGTAGATCGTTGTAAGCTGTCATGAGTGCTGGGAACTGAACGCAGGTCCTCTGCAAAAGCAGTGAGAACTCCTAACCACTGAGCATCTCTCCAGCCCCATATCTCACTTTAATAAAAGCTTTAAGTGACTTATTTGCCCATGATACTGTAGAAGGTTGCTATAAAAATGTATGATGATGTTTCTGTACCACAAAGGAACGAATAGGTACTATTATGTCAAAATATCAATTAAAAATGAGGTATTTGCAGATTTCTACTTTGATTTAGATCTTTCAGTGGAATGAGCTGTGGAAGCTGAACGTGAGCACTGGCTTTGACAGTGTTAAGTTGTTATTCTTCTCTTTCTTGTACACACTGGGTTGCCAGTGTTACAAATCAATACCGTCTTTCCTGACAGTTTAGATTCCTGTTTCCTTTCTCAGCCCTCTTTCACTAAAATCAGGCCATGTACATCAGTCTGAGCATTGCTACCCTTGCTCCATAGCCTGGGAAAGAGACAGATCATAAAGGCACTCTGCAGTTGTAGCCTCTTCCATCAGTTGGACCACTTCCAAAGCAGTTCAGGTGGAGTCAGCCTGTGGCTTCTGGGCTGCTGATGCTGTTTGAGCGCTTTGTACAACTACCTGAGCAGGTGCCTCTCTGACTCTATCTCTTGAATGTTTTATTATGTCTATTCAGAAAACAAGCCAAAAGCAAAACAAAATAAAATTTGTTCATGAAGCCGCATGAGAAGCCAGCTTTGTAATAGGCATGTGCTGCCATAGATGCCAAGCATGTTTTTCTACCTCACCTCTTTCCTGTTTCCTTCCTGTCTTTATAGAACCACTGAATGAGGAGGATAAAGCAAAGATGAGTAAAAGCAAAAAGAAGATGAGGCAGAAGATACAGCGGGGAGAGAGTCAGACTGCTGTCCAAGGGCAGGTGAGGAGGGGCAACAGTGGCTAATTTTCTATAACCAGCTTCATATTTTCTTCCATCCCCATTTCTCACCATCAGTAGAGCAGCACACATTCATTAAATGAAATTTCTTGGGCTTGATTTAGAAAAGTGGGCTTGTTCAAGAAAAATAGGGTATCTCTAGAGTGAGAGAATTGATCCATTGCCAATCCCTCATCATCCCATCTCTCACCTCTCCTCCCCAGCACCCTTTTCTGTTTTTGAATCCTAGCCCAAGCAGAGGTGCTTTCAGAGTTTGAGGAGAAATGACTTCCCTTATGGTTTACAGGCCAGAAACAAGAGGAAACAAGATACCAAGAACTTAAGGCAGAAGGACACTAAGAAGAAACTCAAGGTACATATGAATATATGTCCCAAGGTTAATTTCTTTTTTTAGGGTGCATTGTACATGCTAGACAGATATACTACCACAGAGCTAAATTCCTATCTCAAGTCTGATTTTGAAGCCACCACAGAGATTTTCCAAACAGTGTCATAGATGTATTTTGTTTGGACTCTTGGTTGGGAGGGACTAAGACCAGGCCTGGTGAGACAGGTATCTATGACTCTTGTTCCTCTCTCCTGGGTGGGTAGGCTGAGAAAGAAAAGATGAAGACAAAGCAGGAAAGACTGAAGGACAAAGTAAAGAGGGAAAAGAAAGAAAAGGTGAAAGTGAAGGTAAAGGAAGAGGTGGCCAAAGCCAAACCAGTCTGTAAAGCAGAGAAGACCCTTGCCACACAGAGGCGTCTGGAGGAACGGCAGAGGCAACAGGTTATCTTGGAGGAGATGAAGAAGCCCACGGAGGATATGTGTCTGGCTGATCACCAGGTATTAGGGGTCATGGATGGGCCAGTTCTGAGGACAGTTGTATTAACAGAAGGAGCTCTGAGTAGCCAGATGAGTGCCTGTTGGTAATCTAACAGAATGCTCTCTCACTCACTTCTTTCTCCAGCCCCTGCCTGACTTCACGCGCATCCCTGGTTTGACATTGTCCAGTAGGGCTTTCTCAGACTGCTTGACCATCATGGAGTTCCTGCACAGTTTTGGCAAAGTGTTAGGCTTTGACCTTACCAAAGATGTCCCTAGTCTGGGAGTCCTGCAGGAAGGTCTCTTGTGTCAAGGGGACAGCCTGGGCAAAGTGCAAGACCTGCTGGTGCGGCTGCTGAAGGCTGCACTCCACGACCCTGGTCTGCCCTCCCACTGTCAGGTGAGCTTTGCTTTCTCTCTGAGAACATTGAACAGTGGCCCCTCCTCCAGCCCAGAGCAATGGGGATGTGGCTCCTTCCTGTTTCTGGTTGTTTGTGCTTCATTTGTTCTTTTCTCTGTCTTTCATCTTTTTCTAGTAACTATTTTCCATAATTGTCCTTATTTTATTTTCCGTGGATAGGAGTGTTTTGCCTGCCTTTCTGTGTACCTGGTGTCCACATGTGTGTCTGGTTCACACAAGGACCAGAAGAGGGTGTTGTCTCTTATAACTGGAGTTCGTGTTGTGAGCCACCATGTGAGCTCTGGGAACTGAACCCGGGTTCTCTGGAAAAGCAGCCAGTTCTCTTAACTGATGGGCCATCTCTGCAGCCCCATGACCTGGCAGTTTTCATTGTTTTTCTCTTTTTTTCACAAAAATATCTTTTAGCTGTGTGTATGACGTACACCTTTAGCCTTAGCACCTGGGAGGGAGAGGCAGACAGACCTCCTTGAGTCTGCTCTGTATAGCAAGCTTTAGGCCAGTCAGGATTACATTTTTTTTAAGATTTATTTTTATTTTATGTGAATAAATGTTTGACTGCATGCATGTATGTATGTGTATCAAGTGTGCCTGGTGACCCCAGAGACCTGAAGATAGGGTTGAGTCCCATGTAATTGGATTATGGATGGTTCTGAACCCTGTGTCCTTTCAAGAGGAATAGCCATCTCTCCAACTGTAAATTATTTAAATTTGCATTTAGGGTGTGTATGTGCACGTGTGCATGTCTGTGGTCAGAGGACAACTTACGGGGAGTCAGTTCTCCTTCCACCACGTGCTAGGAATTGAACTCAGTTTTTCAGACTTAGCGGCAAGTTGACCTCGTTCATTTTTTTCTCTTAGAGTTTTATCTTAACCCTGTAGTTCTCTCCCAGGTTCACCCAGCTTGAGTTGTCCTGTTGCCCTTCTCATTCCCATTATGCTTTCTTTCAAATAGTCCCTAAAGATCCTGGGGGAGAAGGTGTCTGAGATTCCACTGACCAGAGACAATGTGTCTGAGATACTCCGCTGCTTCCTCATGGCATATAGAGTGGAGCCAGCCTTCTGTGACAGTCTGCGCACCCAGCCTTTTCAGGCCCAGCCACCCCAACAGAAGGCTGCTGTCCTAGCCTTCCTTGTACATGAGCTCAATGGCTCCACCATCATCATCAAGTGAGGAGCTTGGGGGGTAGTAGTTAATCCTGTAGCTTGTGTAGGAGTGGGTGGGGGAGGGGCTCAGCGCTCCCCAAGTTCCAGGGTAATGTGTCCATTGCTCTTTTCTGAGGATGCTGGGGTGACTTGAGATAGAATCTCAGACCCTCCCTTTCCTGGGAGAATGTAAGGCTTCCCATTGTCATTCCTGCAGTCTGTGTACAGACAGAAGTCCCTGTTGTAATGCTTTATCTTTCTTTTCTTTCTGCTGCCACGTCTCCCTCAAAAATCATCTGCTGTTGCTCTGCAGTGAGATTGACAAGACGCTGGAGAATATGTCTAGCTACAGGAAAAACAAATGGATTGTTGAAGGCCGACTCCGGAGGTAGGGACAGGACAGAGTGGAGCCCAGATAGAGAATGAGACATAGCCAGGATGTTGTCTGGATGTGATGCCCTTCTTTGGTTGGCACCTTGCCAGGGTTCTAAAAAATGTACAGTTAACGTGTTTCTTTTTTGGCATTATGTTCTTCACCATAGTCTTTCTCCCCTAATCTCTGTATTTCAAGACTGAAAACTGCTCTGGCCAAACGAACTGGGCGGCCTGAGGTTATGATGGAATGGCCAGAAGAAGGCCTGGGACGAAGGCGCAGTTCTCGGATCATGGAAGAAACCAGTGGCATAGAAGAGGAGGAAGAGGAGGAAACTATAGTCCATGGCCGCAGAGCTCGAAGAGATGGAGAGGTACTGACCCAACAAAAGGAAGGTGGGGGTTAGAAAGCATTCCTTCGGAGATCTGGTAACCTCCCTACTCTCAATGTCTGTTTGCTTCTGCCCAGATTGACATTGCAGCATCCAGCATTCCAGAGTTAGAGCGCCAGATAGAAAAACTCAGTAAGGTATTGCGTTTTTAATCTCCTAAAAGTTGGAAATATGAGTTGGGCAAGAACTGTTCCCTTGTTTAGAATTTTATCTATCATATAGGGAAGTTGATAAGCCTCAGTTCTCTCCTGTATATTAAAATCTTTCATGCCATTCTGAAAATGTTTTTATTCATCTTCTTTTTCTAATTTCCTACCCAGCGTCAGCTCTTCTTTAGAAAAAAGCTGCTTCACTCATCCCAGATGCTTCGAGCAGTCTCTTTGGGTCAGGACCGCTACAGACGCCACTACTGGGTATTGCCCTGTCTGGCTGGTATCTTTGTAGAAGGATCAGAGGAGAACATAGGTAGGTGTATCTGTGGACACTTGAATTCTGAGTTCCAGTAAAAAAAAAAAGTAAATGCTTTTGTTTTCTTCTGCCCAGTACTCCTGAGCTTTAGTTTTCTGATGCAGTGGAGTTTATTAAGAGCACGGGTTCTAGAGTAAAACTGCTTGTCAGATGTATGCTTCAGTTTCTTCATTTGTAAACTGTGTACTTCATAAGACAACCGAGAAGTAGAGCTGAAGGCGGGCACAGTGGTTAAGAGCATGCGCTGGTCTTTCAGAGGACCTGAGTCGCAGTGCCTGAACCCATGCCCCACGATTCACAGCCTACATGTAACTTCAAGGAATACATACATATACATAATTAAAGTTTTTCAATGACTACTAAGAATTAAAATGTGTAGGCCAAGTGTGGTGGCGCACTCCTTTAATCCCAGCACTCAGGAGGCAAGTGGATCTCTGTGAGTTCGAGGCTAGCCTGGTCTACAGAGTTAAGTTCTAGGACAGCCAGGGCTTTTACACAGAGAAACCCTGTCTTGAATAACCAAAAAGGAAAGAAAAAGAAAATCTTACTGGGAGGCAAGGGCCAGTCAGTCTCTTGAGACAAGGCCAATGTAGTCTATGTAGTGAGTTTAAGGCCTGCAAGGGCTACATAGATTCTGTCTTAAAAACAAGATTTCTGGGCCGGGCGATGGTGGCGCACGCCTTTAATCCCAGCACTCGGGAGGCAGAGGCAGGCGGATCTCTGTGAGTTCGAGACCAGCCTGGTCTACAAGAGCTAGTTCCAGGACAGGCTCCAAAACCACAGAGAAACCCTGTCTCGAAAAACCAAAAAAAAAAAAAAACAAAACAAGATTTCTGGGGCTGGAGAGATGGTTCACCGGTTAAGAGCACTGCCAGCTCTTCCAAAGGTTCTGACTGAGTTCAATTCCCAGCAACCACATGGTGGCTCACAACCATCTGTAATGAGGTCTGGTGCCCTCTTTTGGCCCTCAGGCATACGCACAGAATATTGTTTACATAATAAATAAATAAATAAATAAATATTAAAAAAGTATGAATTTAACAAAAAACAAGATTTTTTCCTCAGGTACTTTGATCCTTGACATAAGCTGTTAGCCAGTAGAATCTTAAATAGATTTTTTTTTTTTTTTTTCGAGACAGGGTTTCTCTGTGGCTTTGGAGCCTGTCCTGGAACTAGCTCTGTAGACCAGGCTGGTCTCGAACTCACAGAGATCCGCCTGCCTCTGCCTCCCGAGTGCTGGGATTAAAGGCATGCGCCACCACTGCCTGGCTCTTAAATAGATTTTAAAAAGCAAGTATGTTCTGTGTTTAGAATGTGTCTCATTCTTTTCCAGTATACGTGTGTGTGTGTACACATTATACAGCTGTTCGTCTTTTTAAAAAAGCTTTTTTCTTATTACAGTTACTGAAGATGGAATAAAGCAGGAAGCTGAGTACTTGACGGAAGCAGTCACTTCGCCACCCTGTTCTGCCCCAGTCTCTGTAAAGAGAGAGTTAACTGGCTCCAACCCCTCTGCTTCTCCTGCCCGCGCCCGAGGCCGACCTCGAAAGTCTAAGCCTGGGTCTATGCAGCCTAGGCACCCTAAGTCCGCTATTGGAGAACATGATTCAGAACAATCCCAGGATCAAGTTCAGCCAGAATCTCAGCCCCATCCTCAGTCCCAGCCCCCACCAAATAATGGGTTCCTAGAGCCAGAAGGCTCCCCTCTGTCTCTGGGTCAGAGCCAGCATGACCTTAGCCAGTCTGCCTTCCTGTCTTGGCTGAGCCAGACTCAGAGCCACAATTCCCTATTGAGCAGCTCAGTCCTCACGCCTGATAGCAGCCCAGGGAAATTAGACCCAGGTCCATCCCAGTCCTTGGAGGAACCTGAGCCTGAGGAGGCAGAATCCTGCCCTGCTCCTCAAGGACCCTGGTTTAACTTCTCAGCCCAGATACCCTGTGATGCTGCCCCTACACCACCCCCTGCACTTTCTGAGGACCAGCCTACTCCCTCCCTCCATCTGCCTGCCGCCTCTAAGCCAGTAAGTAGCCAGAGCAATCTGTTATCTCACCCAGAACTCCCATGTCTGGCTGTGAGACTACAACCTGAAGCTAGGAAACCTGTAGACATAAAGTATCTTCATTCCTTCATGTTTTCTTATTTACAGATGATTACTTCCGGTGCTGCCAATCCTTGTTCTCCAGGGCAGTTCTCTTCCACCCACTTGCCTGGAAGGGGCTCTAAGAGGCCATCAGGAGACTCTGAAGAAATTCCACAGAGTCCCACAGGACTGGGACAACCAAAACGAAGAGGGAGACCTCCTAGCAAGTTCTTCAAGCAGGTGGAGCAGCGTTACTTAAGCCAGCTGACAGCCCAGCCTATCCCCCCTGGTGAGCAAGCTTGGCTAGGATGGGGTAAACAAGGAGGTGATAGCAGTTTCCATTGTGGGCAGTGCGACTCGTGTGGTTTCCACCCCCTGCCCATATACACAACCCTCTGTACACAGAGATGTGCTCTGGCTGGTGGTGGATCCGAGATCCTGAGACACTGGACGTCATGCTGAAGGCACTACATCCCCGAGGCATCAGGGAGAAGGCGCTACACAAACATCTTAGCAAGCACAAGGACTTCTTGCAGGAAGTTTGCTTACAGCCCTTAACTGGTAAATACGAAACCTTGACCTAGCCTGAGCTGGAGTAGCTGCTGTGCACAGGAGCTTGACAGCCCACTCCTCTGCTTTCTCTCTCTCTTCCCAGATCCCATCTTTGAACCTTGTCAGCTGCCTGCCTTGGAAGAAGGAATTATGAGCTGGTCCGCCAAAGAGAAGACTTACGAGACAGACCTGACTGTGCTTCAGTGGGTAGAGGAGCTAGAGCAGCGTGTTGTCCTGTCTGATCTGCAGATTCGGGTACACTGGGGTTGGCACTGGGTAGGGAGCTGTTTACGGGAGGGTTTTGTTTTTGTTTAACTCTCTGTTTTGATTTTTGTGTTGTGAATGTTTTGCTTGCATGTATGTCTGTATAGTGCGTGTGTGGTGCCCTCAGACCAGAAGTGTCAATAGCCTCTGGAGCTGGGCCTTACAGATAGTTCTGAGCCCCGTGTAGTGGGTGCTGGGAATTGAACCTGGGTACCCTGGGAGAGCAACCTGCACTCCTAACTGCTGTGCCCTCTCTCTAGCCCTAGGTTCTGGTTTTTGAAACAAGGTCTCTAGTTCAGACTGGCCTGGGATTCAAGGCATTCTTCTGCCTTGGCCGTCCAGGTGCTGGGATTGCCAACATGAGCCACTACATGTAGCTGCGGGGAGCGTGTCAGGAAGAGCCCTTGAATGACCTACCATGATATGAAGTGTTTCCTTTTACAATGTGTTTTATTCCTCTTTCCCACTGGAAGGGCTGGACATGCCCTAGCCCAGATTCTATCCGAGAAGACTTGGCCTATTGTGAGCATCTCCCTGACTGCCAGGAGGACATCCCCTGGAGAGGACGGGGCAGGGAAGGGGCAGTACCTCAGCGGCAAAACACCAACCCTCTGGACCTTGCTGTGATGCGGCTGGCTGCTCTAGAACAGAATGTAGAGCGGCGTTACTTACGGGAGCCCCTCTGGGCAGCCCATGAGGTGGTAGTAGAGAAGGCCCTGCTGAGCACACCCAACGGCGCCCCAGATGGCACCACTACTGAGATGTGAGTGACTCCTGCTGCCTGTCTCTTAGCCTGGGAGGGCAGAAGTCTTCTTGTTCCTCATCCTAGATTTCCCCCACCCAGATCATATGAGATTACCCCTCGTGTTCGTGTCTGGCGGCAGACACTTGAGAGATGTCGTAGTGCAGCCCAGGTGTGCTTGTGCATGGGCCAGCTGGAACGCTCCATCGCATGGGAGAAGTCTGTCAACAAAGTGGTAAGAGTCTGAAGATGCCTGGAGAACGCTAGAGACAGCTTGGTAAGAGTGGGGTCGGCAAGGGGCAGATGGTTAGGGATTCACTCTGCTTCCTCACAACTTTGGTCTAGACCTGCCTAGTCTGCCGGAAGGGTGACAATGATGAGTTCCTCCTGCTTTGTGATGGATGTGACCGTGGCTGCCACATTTATTGTCATCGGCCCAAGATGGAGGCTGTCCCAGAAGGAGACTGGTTCTGTACTGTCTGTTTGGCACAGGTAAGATTCAACTGTTTGATTTCATTCTTTTTTTTTTTAAGATTTATTTATTTATTTATTTATTTATTTATTTATTTATTATGTATACAACATTCTGCCTCCATGTATGCCCGCAGGCCAGAGGAGGGAGGGCGCCAGATCTCAGTACAGATGGTTGTGAGCCACCATGTGGTTGCTGGGAATTGAACTCAGGACCTCTGGAAGAGCAGCCAGTGCTCTCAACCTCTGAGCCATCTCTCCAGCCCCCCTGATTTCATTCTTAAGCAAGAGTCAGAATTTTTTTTTTTTTTTCATCTTTTTTAGGTTTTTCAAGACAGGGTTTCTCTGTAGCTTTAGAGCGTGTCTTTGAACTAGCTCTTGTAGACCAGGCTGGCCTCGAACTCACAGAGATCCACCTGCCTCTGCCTCCTGGGTGCTGGGATTAAAGGTGTGCGCCACCAACATCCAGCGCCTTTTTTTTTTTTTTTTAACCACCAGTCCCACAGATAATCCCCTACCCTCAGGCTACCCTGGAATGGGCCTCTGAGTCCTTCCTTCTTTGAAGAAATCACTTACATTCTTTAGCCCCAGTCATTTCCTCCATAAAATAGTAATAACCATTCTATTTACTGCCCCTCCCATTGATTACTGAATGAGTTCACATGCTGGCTGATGTGTGAGCATCTAAAGCCACAGTCACTCGTAGGCAGGATTCTGAGGAACAGCACACTGCTGTTCTTACTGTATATGCCTATCCTCAGCAGGTACAGGAAGAATTCTCTCAGAGGCCTGGTTTTCCAAAACGAGGCCAGAAGCGGAAAAGTAGTTTCCCACTGAACATACCGGAGGGTGACAGTCGCCGACGCCGAATGCTATCGAGAAGCCGAGAAAGCCCAGCAATGTCTCGGTGCCCAGAAGATGGACTGTCTCCCTCCAAGAGACGGAGGCTTTCGATGAGAAGCCACCACAGTGATCTCACATTTTGCGAGTGAGTTGATGAATTATAGGGATAGCTGGCTCTGTGTGTTCCAGAAGGACTGGGAGGAATCAGAGTGTGCTTCTTATACTAACAGGATCATCCTGATGGAGATGGAGTCCCATGACGCAGCCTGGCCTTTCCTGGAGCCTGTGAACCCTCGGTTGGTGAGTGGGTACCGGCGCATCATCAAGAACCCTATGGATTTTTCCACCATGCGAGAACGGCTGCTCCGAGGAGGGTAAGAAGATATTGTGTGCGCCTGCTCTCTCTTTTTTTCTTGTTCTCTTTTTCTCAGCTCTTAATAGTTCACAACCCCATTTTCCCCTTGACCCAGGTATACTAGTTCAGAGGAGTTTGCAGCTGATGCCCTTCTGGTTTTTGACAACTGCCAGACCTTCAACGAGGATGACTCTGAAGTGGGCAAGGCTGGGCACATCATGCGCCGCTTCTTCGAGAGCCGCTGGGAGGAATTTTATCAGGGAAAACAGGCCAATCTGTGAGGCAAGGAAGGTGGGGGCCACCTTCTGGTGTGTTTTCCAACCTTCCTAACAAGAACCTGCCATTCTCACCTGCTGACGGCTGCCCTGGGTGGACTCATCAGACAGTGCTGATGTTTGCCTCTGCCCTTGGCAGCACCACATCCTCTTGTCCCTAATCTCCTTTTATCCCTTCCTCCTATTGCTCCTCAAATAAGAGATGTAGAGATGAGGTCCTTTTGGACAGAAAGCCAAAAAAGCAAAAGAATTTTTCCTGGTTTTTTTCCTTGATTAAAATGGAGAGGGGTAAAGAAGTCCCTTCCTCTTCCCGGCTTCCTCCCCTCCCTGTACACGCCCCAGCATCCTGGGGCTATTTAACAATAGCAATAGTTCTAGTGAATGTGTGAAACCGAGAAACACTCTGTACTGTGTGCGGACCCGCAGTGACGGCCAGTAAAGTGGACTTAACTCCCAAGTGTGTCGAGCCGGACACCGGGCCCTGAACATGCTGCTTCCATGTTCAGTTCCTTCCCTGCTTCTTGCTCTCTCTCACATTTTCTCTTCTTCCCCTTCTCCTTGTTTTTACAATTTTTGTCCCACCCAATAATGTAAAACTATCGTGTACGGGTTCTTCTTTTCCCCTTTCCCCTTACGTAGAAAACAAAGTTCAGAGCTCCCTGTCTCTGTGCTCATCTTCCTGCCAATAAGTAACCCTCTAAAATGTTGGATCCTCCTCATGTGCTGAGTTTCTAGCCTTTTCTGAAACTCTGTGACTGGGGAGAGGGCAGGCGGGCAGGTGGGTGCCCTGGGCCTTCCAGCCTCCTTCCCCGCTTCCCAAACCTCCCTCTTGGGAACTCCTCAGGGACAACTACTGCTGAGTCTGAGTGCTGCTCCGAGATGGAGGCCCTCAGAGAGAGGGGGAGAGGTGTGTGTGTGTGTGTGTGTGTGTGTATATGTGTGTGTGTGTGTGTGTGTTGCGTGCCTGCCCTTGCACACAGATGCTGAGCTGTGATTGTGATCCTGTTTTTGTGTAATGGGACCCATTTGTGTTTCCTCGACTATGTTTTATTTTCCCACCTTTGCCGTTCCATACCATCACTTTTTGTCTTTGGGAAAACACAGGAACTATTTCTCTGGGGACAAGGCTGTCCTCGTGGTTATTTCTGTTCCAGCCTCTTCAAACTGTGCAATCTTTAGCAGGAACTCCCTCTCCTCTCAGTAGCTTTGAGTCTTGAGAGTTTCTGGGAGAGGGGTAGAACTGGATCTTTCCTAAACCATGAGTATCTGGGTTTAGTTGTGTTTTCCTTCCTTGCATCTACTTCATATCCCCAGCAGCGGCTCCTGGAGCACAGGATGGGTAGAGAGGAGAGATTCTGGTTCTGCCACTGCCCTGTGTATGACTAAGCCCAGGTTAAGCCCCCAACACTTGAGAGGAAAGCTGCTAACTCCAAGCTATAGCCATGGGCCTCTGGCCCCCTGCTTTCCTGCTCAGCAGAGCCCCTCCCATCAGAAATTACGGGTACTTGCACTGGGGAGGTGGCTGCTGGCTGGCCTAAGCAGAGAGCTGAGGCATCCAAGCAATGTTCCATTGGTGGGGGCGGGGTGCCAGGTGAGGTGGAGTGTTTCTTGTACTCCAGCAGTACTGGGGGTGGGGTAGTGCAGGTTCCTGGGCAGCCCTTACTCCTTTTCACCCTGCCCTCACTCCACTCCCTATTGCCTATTTCTAAAGTCGCCTTTTCTGTCGAAAAACCTCAAAACTTAACTTTATTTGAGATTTTTTTTTTTGCTTTTAAATAAGAGGTGGATTGAAGAATATTTGAATTGACTTTATATTATGCATAAATATTTATATTTTATCTAAATAACTGCGCCGTAACAAACTTTGTGTCAGTCAGATGTTTGGAACTGTTATAATTGGGGATAACTCCCCCCATAGCAAGTTTCCTTTGGCATAAAATGTACTGGAGTCTTTCATTGTTGGAGGTGGAAGGGAGAGTGTGGCCTTCGTTGTCCACTCTGTGCTCCTCTCCAGTTCCAGCTCTTTCCTAGGGACCAGGCACTCGTAAGGCGGGGTGGAGGTCCTAGACTTGATCTGAAGAAGTGGGATAGGGCATGATCAAAGGGGCCATTCCTCACTTTCCTCGTCTTCACTGCCCCTGGAGCTAGGTGGATCTTCTCTATTGACAGAGTATTTGGTAGGGAAAGCAGGTTAAAAATAAAACAACCCACCCCTGCCCTTTGTGTCCCCTCCCCTATCTGGTAACAGCAAGAAACCATCAACACCAACAAGTTTCCATGTTCCTTTTACAACAAAAGGGACTGACTTTTTATATAACCAAATGTGGTGTTTTAGTGACTTTTTGATAATGTACAGTTTTTTGTGAATTTAAATTTATTTCTTTCTATATTTTTAGGACCAATCTCATTTTTAATAAGGTTTAAAAAAGGAAAAAGTGTAGAGAAAAAAAAAACCTCGTTTTTGCCATGTGATGTTCCACAGGTGCGGCTGTAGAAAAGTGCTTGTCATTGAATAAAACCACATTTGATAGAGACTCAAGAAGACTCGTGTTTCTCTCCTGAAGCAGCTTCCCTAAGGCAGAGTGAGTGTGGGGTGGGTCTGACTCCCAGGTTGACTTGTTTTCTGGGCAGAGCAGCCCTATCTAGTGTGGAGCAGACCCTGTGTGCCGTGATGGCAAGAGCAGGCAGATCACCAGTTTTCATTGATAAGACACTATGACCGACTTTTGTGTTTTATTTTAAAAAAGAAAGAAAAAAGATTGAAGTTAGCAAAAGTAAAGCTCTTCCAAATTACAGGGCAGGGATGTTAGAAGTGAGCCGAGGAGAGCGGGCGAGAGGTAGCACTGCAGAAGGGAGGGTGTGAACTACAGGTCTCTGGGTAAAGGGGAAATGTACAAAATGTGTTTTAAGTATAAATTAAACTTCCTCTCCAGGGCGATAAGTGCATCCAGTAGAGTTGTCACCTGCCCCAGAGAGGGGCAGGAGCAGAGACGTCCATACTGGTCCTCTCAGCTCTGTGGCAGCCTCCAGTCTATTCTCTTATTCTCCAAGGTCTTAAGTCTGCTCCAAAGCTGGTGTTCCTGGGGTAACTGGTAATTTGCCCAAGGTGGTCATTGCACAGCCTAGGCCCTGACTCGTCATACAGGGACCGATCTGGAGCGCTCATGCTCACACTAGGAAAGGGAAGACAATCCAGAAGGCAGTTTCGGCTCTTGAACTGAAGAGTTTGCTTTGTTTCAAAGACGAGGGCGGTGAAGGGTTAGGGAGCAGGTGCTGTGCCTGAGCTGAGCTGTAAGACTGAGGTAGTTGAGTGAGGAGAACAGGAGTTGAACAAGCAGATGCCAGTCCGAGAGCCACTGTCACTGCCACATGGAGACCACCTCCAGCAAGGGTCAGCACAGAGCAGAAGAGGCATCCAGAGGTTTTAGCTGTTGAGGAAAGGCTCTGCTGCAGCCTGTCAACTTCAGGACTTCTAATGCGTACAGGCACTTTGAAAGGGCAGGCTGCTCAGAAGTGGAGTGCTTGGTTCACAGAGGAACTGGGAAGAACCGTGTGACAAGGTACAGATTTGATTTGCCTGTATAGACCAACTGTTGTTTATGAGACCGGTCCTGCTCTCTGAGTTCAGGTCTAGAAAAGGCTGGAGTAAGTTTGGACCTGACTCAGCTGTATTGCTCTTGGCTAAGAAGGCTTCACCAGCCTTCAGTGAATGCAGTTCTGACACTTTTCCAGAAAGTGGGAGCATGTCTGGGAGGGAAGGACAGCAGGAACAACAAACTGTCCATATTTATTACTGACAAGAGCTGTTCCCTCTTCAGAGGCACCTAACTTCACACAGGCTGGGCAGTTCTTCAAATCCTTGGCTTAAAAACACTCAAGAATCTCTCCTCATCATTGTCCCACAGTGTCCTAAAGGCCAGTCCATCTACAACGTGGCCCCCAAGCCTGGGAGGGATGCTGGTAACCCTGAGGTGGGTTGGGTAGGCCTGGAGCCTGGTAAAGGATGACACTATCCTAGGACTCCAGTATGTTCTGACTGGAAACAATTTGGGGGTGAGATGTAAAGAGAAAGGTCTGACCTCCATGCCGGCAGGATTCAGGAAGCACTGGGCATGGTGTTGAGAGCCTTGGGTAGTGTGGTGGGGTGCTTCCTGTGGAGCTGTGTCCTGCGGACCATCCCTCTACAGCCCACATCCTTCTTTCCTGTCCCCAGTCACTACTGAGTAATGAGCCAACAAGAGAGGGTGGCAATCACTAAGCAGAATTACACAGTGCCATTAACCACTATAAAAAAAAATTATACGTTACCCTCATTTCCCATGCTCGCACCTGCTCAACCAGAAACACTGGAAGCTAAACAGTACTCACAGAGGAAAACCTCAGAAGGTAATTTAAAAATTTAAAACCATAAGCCGTTCAAGTTGCTTTTAGAGCTACAGAAAAAGAAACAAGTTTTAAGAGGCAGTGACAGAGCAGTGGTGACAGCAGGACCCTACTGGCCCTGGCTATCAGCAGAGCTTCCACTCAGTAGAGTTCTGGGCTTGGTTTGGTTTGGTTTTCCTTAAAGACCACTAACAAGAAAGCTACCTTCTTAGTGTTCTGTCACTGAGGGCTTTAACTGGATATAGCTGACCTTCCTGAGGTTGGAAGCACCAGTGGAAAAAATCTGGTAATTTCATTCTTTTTATTTATTATGTATACAGTGTTCTGCCTGCATGTATGCCTGCAGGCCAGAAGAGGGCACCAAATCACACGTGACCTATGGAAGTGTACCCAGTGCTCCCAACCTCTAAGCCATCTCTAGCCCATACTATGCTCACCACTGCCATGAGCCCTTTATTCCCAGAATGCACTGAAGCACAATCAGACCAGGATTCCCAGTTCTGCAGTATGTACAGCTGCTGCATCAGTAAGCCAGTGTCTCCACCACCACGGTCAACCCTTCCTTCCCTACACAAGCCTCTGAACACACTTCCCTCCCGCTCTCCATTACTTTGTCTAGTGGAGGTGAACCTGGATTTGACAGTTAAAAGACACGCGTTTCAAGGTCTCTCCTGCGGTAAGGAGCTGATGTATTGCCTCTTCCTACCCTAGCACCCTGTTGTCCCTCCACAAGAAGAAAAGTGATTTCTTGTGTTCTGGTTCCTTGGGGAAGGGGTTCAAACACTCCAGGGCTGGGCAGGGTACTGCACAAAGAGCTTGGTCCTTTATCAGGCACGCCCAGCACAGTTAACAGTTCTCACCTTCAGTCCTTCAGACTGCAGACTGCGTTTGGCTTACGCACGTGAGCAAGCCCTGCTGAGACAGCTCCTGCTGAATTTCTAAGCTTTAAAGACTGTTGAGTACACCCATGTGCAGCTGGCACTCCTGATGAACATTACGAGGCTCTGTCCAGGGCTGGGCTGGGGATTTAGCCATTCCAGAAGGCAGGGAAATACTGTCAAAGATGATAGACACGACAACAACCTCATAGGGGCGGAACTTGCACACGGGGGAAGGATGTTTAGAGGGACTGACTGAGCAAGGCCACAAGCAGCAGGGATGGGACTGTGAGACCTGGGATAGAATGAAGACCCTCCAGGAGGCAGAGCAGGCATTCCTGAAGCTGAAGCTGGGCGCCAGTCAGACCCATGTCTGTCGTAGTTATCATCCTTTTGGAACTTGCCACCAAATTTGGTTGTCACGTGTCTGCTTCCCAAAGTCAAAACTCCAGTCTCTTTTTTTCAGAGGAAAGCCACCTCCACTGTCCTTTTCCCAGTCCCACATGAAATTTAAGGCAGATTCATAAGATTAAAAACTGTAAAAAGGCAAAGCAGGCAAGGCTCAGCTGAACGGAAAAGAACAATCTAGACAAGAAGTTAAAAAAGGAAAAAACAGCAGCCAGGCATAGTGGTGCACTCAGGAGATGGAGTGGGTTGGATCCCTGTGAGTTCAAGGCCGGCCTGCCAGGGCTACACAGAGACCCTGTGAACTGAGAGCTTTGCAAAACAAAAACTTTTAGGTCCGCATATTTAAAACACATGACACCTCAGAAATAGTCCATAACTAAACTTGGCAAGCAGGGCTCCTTCATCGATTTTCCAGCACTTTTTTTCTTTTTAAAGAAATCATTTGACAAGCCTTCCTAAGTAATTCCAACATACCCCAACCTCTCTGTGAAGATGGGAGGCAGCTCAGCCAGTGAAGAGCGACATGGTTCCCTAGGCTCCATCAACAAGAAAATAGCCCAAGGCAGGCATGCAGTCTTCTTTTCTCAGGCCCTGGCCTAGGAGGAAATGATGGCCACGTTTAGATCGCCTGTAACCTGGAGTCTGGGATGCATTTCTGTTTAATGAAGATGTAGGCTCTTGCCTAAAGGAGGCAGAAGGTGGAGAGGGTGTGGAGGGGACATGACGAGACCACGCAGCCATCGCCCAGCTCAGCGTAACAGCATGCCCCCAGCTTACAGGTCTTACCTCGTTACTTGCTGAACTGGAAAGGAAAGACCCCATGGTCTGTGGGTGTCTCCACTGCGACTTGACTCTGCTGACCACTGCTCTCCTGTATCACAGCCAAGGAAAGTTACTGATGCATTCCTACGCTCGCCTCCTACTGAAGAAGCCTCACTAATACAGCCAAAGCTGAGTGGCATCCTCAACTCACTCCCCAAATGCAAGTGTGCTCACAGCATCAAGCTAGAAAGAAGGTGAAGTGGTGCTACTTTGGGAAATACATAAACAACTGCTAATTTTCAGAGCATTTAAGCAACTCAAGTCAGCCCTTTCCTCCCACCCCCTAGTGAGGACCAGAATCAGCAATGCTATGAGAAAAAGTGCTTGCTCAGGACAGAAGTCTGCCTCACTGCAAAGAAATGCTCCTACCTCGACAGAAACATTGGAGGAAGGCACAGGAGGGTACTGGGGGATGTAAGCTCCTTGCATAGCAGCGGCCGTTGGCATGAACTGGAATGAAAAGGAACATGGTTCTCAGACACTCAGGAGCTCTGAAAAGCAGAGATTCCTTTAGTGGTGTGTGGACTTCTCACAATGGTCCCGATGATGTTCGAGGACATTGGCCTGGAGACAGGCCTGCTTGCTTTCACTGCTTTCCCAGCTGCTCCATCCCTTTTATTTTTTTAAAAAAAATATTTATTATGTATACAATATTCTGTCTGCGTGTATGCCTGAAGGCCAGAAGAGGGCACCAGACCCCATTACAGAAGGTTGTGAACCACCATGTGGTTGCTGGGAATTGAACTCAGGACCTTTGGAAGAGCAGGCAATGCTCTTAACCTCTCAGCCATCCCTCCAGCCCCATCCCTTCCTTTTAGTATTCTGATGAATTCTAGGAAATGTGCACTGATTCCTGAGCAAATGCACAAATGTTTAGAACTTCTGGGAGGCACCTAGAAGTAGGGAGTAGGGCAGAATGGCTATATTCACAGCTTGTCCTTGAACTTTTAAAAATCTTCCTCAGCCTCCTGGTGCGGGGAATTAGAGGCATTTACCCCAGGTCTGAGTGCGCCTTCACTGACTGAAAGCACAGTTCCATCCTTCGGAAGGACTGGCGCTAGCATTTCACGGGCAGCCTTACTCTGGAGGAGTGATCTTAGAGACAACCCTTTACCGTGCCCAGGCTGCTGAGTGACAGGTGACTCAATTGCTGGGTAAGAGGTCCCATCATGGAGGCATGCTGGAGAGAAAGAGGGTGGTCCATCCCTGGTGTAAGAACTGAGCCCTAGAGGAGGCAACAAAGAAGATGGTTAGGCAGCAGCCTCCCGCAAAGACACCTCAAGCAGCGGCTGATGACAAGCAGGGCCATCTTTTTTTTTTTTTTTTTTTTTTTTTTGGACAGTGTCTCTATGTAGCCCTGGCTATCCTGGAACTCTATCTAGATCAGGCTGGCCTTGAATTCATAAAGTTCTGCGCGTCTCCTCTGCCTCCCAAGTACTGGGATTAAAGGCTTGGGTGAGCAGAAGGAGATGACACATGAACTAGAGAATCATCTGCTACCATTTTCAAGGCCTCAAAATTAAATCCTGGGACAGGAGCAGCACCCTGACCTTCAGTCTGCAGAGACCTTTGTCTAAGAACTCACAGAAGGAGCTTCACAATGCTCTAAGTCAGAACTCACACCCACAGATCCTGTCATCACAGCCCTTTGCTTTCCTTTACATCAAATCATCTCTGGCTTCTGCCCACTTCTCAACACTCACTGAAGGCTGCATGAGGTACGACTGGTGTTGCATCCAGGATGGGTTAGGAACTTGTAGAGGAGATGTCTGGGTCACTCTCTGATATAAGCAAAAACAAATAAAAACATTAACTGCCTAGATTCAGTGCCCAAGAAGTTCAGCAAAGCCCCCACCAACTGACATGTGACATGGTCCTTCAGAACACAAACAAGCTGCTTTTTTTTCCGGGCTATGAATATAGTGATACTTCATTTGTATTTTTTTTTTTTTCGAGACAGGGTTTCTCTGTAGCTTTTTGTTTGTTTTGTTTTGTTTTTCGAGACAGGGTTTCTCTGTGGTTTTGGAGCCTGTCCTGGAACTAGCTCTTTTTTTTTTTTTTTTTTTTTGTTTTTTCGAGACAAGGTTTCTCTGTGGTTTTGGAGCCTGTCCTGGAACTAGCTCTGTAGACCAGGCTGGTCTCGAACTCACAGAGATCCGCCTGCCTCTGCCTCCCGAGTGCTGGGATTAAAGGCGTGCGACCACCGCCTGGCTTGTTCTCTGTAGCTTTGGAGCCTGTCCTGGAACTAGCTCTTGTAGACCACGCTGGCTTCTAGCTCAGAAAAATCTGCCTGCCCCTGCCTCCCGAGTGCTGGGAATAAAGGCATGCACCACCACTGCCCGGGTTCATTTGAATTTTAATACATAAAGCTTGTCTGAAGCTCAGAGAGCAAAACAGCCGCACTGGTCAGCCTTATAGACCAGTAGTGGTGACACACACCTTTAATCCTAGCAGATAGACTAATTTGCCATAGATACTGCCGGGCGATGGTGGCACACACCTTTAATCCCAGCACTTAGGAGGCAGAGGTAGGCGGATCTCCGTGAGTTCGAGACCAGCCTGGTCTACAGAGCTAGTTCCAAGACAGGCTCCAAAGCCACAGCGAAACCCTGTCTCGAAAAACAAAAAAACAACAAAAAAAAAAAAGAAACTGGGCAGTAATGGTGCACATCTTTAATCCCAGCACTAGAGAAGAATATAAAATTGGAGTAGACAGCTCTCAGTCTCTGTGACTCTGAGAATCTCTGTGAGTTTGAAGTCAGCCTGGTCTACAAGAGCTAGTTCCAGCCCAGGTTCCAAAGCTATAGAGAAACCCTGTCTTGAAATACCCTCCCACCCCACCAAAAAAAGAGAAAAGAACAAACTTTTTAAATATTAGGAACTTATAAGTCAGACAAAACAAGTTAAAAGTAAGCGAAGGGCTGGGTGATCCCAGCACTCAGACGACAGAGAGAGGTGGATCTCTGAGTTGGAGGCCAGCCTGGCTCATGGAGCAAGTTCCAGGACAGCCAGGGCCACACAGAGAAGGGTGGTGCACTAGCTCATCAGGACACGGCGTTTGCCACCAGATCTGAAGTCCTGAATTAGATCCCTAGAAGCCCAAGGTGGAGGGAGAGAACCTGCCACACGTTGTCTTCTGACCTACACAAACACGTAGACTGAGAATAAATATTATTTTTCAAAAAGGTATTGAGGGATGGGAGATGGCTCAGCAGTTCAGAGCACCTGATGTTCTTCCAGAGGACCCTAGTTTGATTCCTAGCACCCACGTTGTGGCTCACAGGCATCTGTTTCAGGGGATCCAACACCTGACCTCAGGCACACATGAAATATACATATGTACATACATAGAAGCAAAACACACTAAAGTAAAAGGACTTAAAAATGTGAGAGTGACAGTATATGTTAAATATGGCTATATTTATAAAGGAAGTTTCTGCCGAAGCCCTGTGTATCTGTTTTCACCAACATGAGAGTTGTCCGTTGTAGGGTGCAAAGCTGCCTTTACTTGTGGGGCGGTAAAAACAGAAAGAGGGTGGCTTTTCTTTTGAGGCAGGGTCTCTTTTATGTAGACCAGGCTGTCCTGGAGACCAGGCTAGCCTATGTCCTATATAGAACAGGCTGGCCTCGCAAGTGCTGGGATTCAAGGTGTGCAACACCATGCCGAGCTCATGAGGATGCCTCTAAAAGTGTTTATATACATACACACTGTATGTATGAGCGGATACACATGTAGGGATACATGCTATTTATATACACACATACGTCACACGTTATGCTCTTACATAACATTTTTTATGTGTACAATATAGAAAAGCTTCCTATTTTTTGACTTAAGGGGGCAAACACGCCTTACCTGATAGGAGGACACAGGAGATGGGAGATAAGGGGAGAGCGTTGAATGAGCGAGCATCCTGCTGTGGGCAATGCTGTATGGTGCTGGGTAGAACCTGTGGGAAAGGCTTTGCTCAGGGAGGAAGCCCCCTCCATCCACTACCTGCTCTTTGAGAATCAAAATGAAACACCCGAATGCCTGGACATGCGTCTGGACACTTTCAGGTGACTGACACATCCTTACCCATTCTGAAGAGCTGTGGTGGGGTCATAGGTCAAGGCCATACCACCCTATAAGAAAGAACACAGGGTTTTTATTTTGAGCCCAGAGTACCCACAAGTCCCACTACGGGGTTTTGGAACTCTGCAGGTTGCAAATAGGCACCGAAGAGCGAGGAAACAACCAGCAGCCCGCAGCTACAGATTGCTCTCGAGAGCCGCCTAAGCGCACAGAAACCAAGCCGAGGGCCACTGCCACCCCACGTGAATGCCTTCAGGGTTTGTGTTTCCTCAGAGGTCTGTCTACCATGTCTCCATTCCTTGGCCAGGCCCGTCCATTTTGCACAAATTTTCCTTGGTTCTGGCGTTTCTTTGGCCCGCCATCAGCAAATTTGCAGAGCAGGGGGTCAGATGGTGCTGGCGAGAGAACAAAGCAGACAGGTGCTGGACCGTCACACTTGGCACGCTCCTCCATGGCCCCAGCCTGAGTCCCAGGCGACTCACCTGCCACTCCAGGGGGCGTCTTGATATACTTCCCGTTAAAGTGGGTGATGACGGCTTCACACATCTCTGTGGACTCCATCCTAAGAAGCATGAGAGGTGAGGCTCTCCCTGTGCGGGGTACACACGTGTTCCACACACTCAGTCCCTAGTCCCATGCATACTCTAGAAGTTTTATGTGGTACACACATGGAGTTCCTGTCACATGTGTTCATCTCAGGCAGCTGCGTTTCGTTTTTTTGTTTGTTTGTTTTTAAGACAGAGTGTGTGTATGCTCCTGGCTGGCCTCGAATGCTCTAAGGATGACTTTGAACCTCCGCTGCTCCTGCCTCAGTGCTGCAGTTGCAGAAATGCTCCACCATGCCCGACTTTTATGCAGTACTAAAGACAGAGCCAGGGGCGATGTGGCTGCGACAAGCAAAAACCTTACTGACTGGGTGCGTCCCTGGCCCTTTACTGTACAATTCCTAAGAGGGCAGATGAGGGGGTTCAGGGGGAAAGGCGCCTTCCAGCAGGCCCAGCGACTTGAGTTCCATCTCTGGAACCCACGTGATGTTAGGAGAGAGCCAACTCCTGATGGCTGTCCTCTGACCTCAACACATGCTGTACACACAAACGTGCACGTATGTACACACAAGACAAATTTAAAATTGTTTGCAAGTGGCTACTGAACCATTAAAAGAAAAAATTCCTCACCAGGCAGTGGTGGCGCACACCTTTAATCCCAGCACTCGGGAGGCAGAGGCAGGCGGATCTCTGTGAGTTTGAGGCCAGCCTGGTCTACAAGAGCAACTTCCAGGACAGGCTCCAAAGCTACAGAGATACCATGCCTCGAAAATAAATAAGTTTCAGTTGTTTATTTGAGGAAACTGCACACGCAATGATTTTGCTAATATTTTTTATTTCTGGCAATAATTATCAAGGCCCAATTATCTATGGCACATTGTTATGATTGGCAGTGAGGAGCTCACTGGGTACCACGGCCAAGCCCGATGACCTGAATGACCCCAGAAACCACACAGAATTGACTCCTGTGAGCTGTCCTCTGGCTTCCACCTAAGAGCCAGCTCTTTTCCCTACAGTTGATAAATAAGTGCTTTTTAAAGGGGGCTGGGGGGAGGGCTCACAAAGGGGAAGGGGACAGAGAAAGAACTGAAGATGTGGGTGCCGGTGGCTGTGCACCACCCAAAGCCAGCTCGCTTCACAGTTCTGAAATGGGACCTTGCTTTACGAGCCATGCTAGCTGGGATTTCAGTAGCTCTGCCCTCGGGCTGGCAAGATGCTCAGCAGGTCAAGGAACCTGCGAATCTGATGTCACTCTTGTCAAGTCTAACGACACGAGTTTAATCCCTGGAACCCTCATGGTCAAAGTGGAAAAGTGATCCCTAAAAGTTGTCATGTGACCTGCACCTTCCTGCCATAGCACACCCACACGTAGAGACACACAAATTCATGAAATAATAAAATATAATGAAATATAAATGGATAAACAGACACTGACCATCCTTTAGTCCCAGTTACAGGTGAGGTGGGATTCAAAATCTACCTTAGCTACAGAGTAGGGCCAAGGCCAGTCTGGTCAGCGTTTGAGACCCTGTGGAATGGTCAGCTTTGTCAACCAGACACAACCCAGACTCCCTGGGAAATCTCAGTGTCTCCAGGGGACAGTCTTCAGTTAATTCACATGGGTGGCACCAATTCCCTAGTCAGGGAACCCTAAACCGTGTAACCAGGCAGGTGAGCGTGCATGAGTTCATTCTGCTGTGGGTTTTGTTTTGTTTAACAGAGTCTCACTATGTAAGCCTTTTTGGTCTGGAACTTACTATATAGACCAGGCCTAATCTCCACCTACTTGTGCCTCTGGAGTGCTGGGTTGACAGCAAGCATCACCGTAGCCAGCTGCTCTCTTGTCTTGACTGTGGGCGTGACTGGACTAGCTGGGTTCTCACCCTGACTTTCCCGAGATGAACCACAACCAAGAACCATGAGCGGAAATAAACATCTTTCCTAAGTTGTCTTTCGTCAGGGGATTTTATCACAGCAGCAAAGACCGAACTGGGACATGATGTCACAAAATGAAAAGTCAAAAGGACAGAGATGCAGCTCAGTGGCATACTGTGTGCCTAGCGTGATGGAAGTCTGAGGTTTTAGCCCTACTGCAAAGAAAACAAACAGGCACAGGGGTGAGGAGATCTGCGTTCAGTCCCCAGCACATGCAGAGAGGCCAGATGTGAGGCTGACACCCACATACTGGTGCAAGCACACCTCATCCTAACCCCCCAAAAAGTCCACCCCAAACTGTCTGACCGTGTAATGACTTGACGTGTTGACTATTTCTTTTGGCATGGAGGAGGAGGTGCTCTGCTAACTAAGGGCGCCATGAGCTAAGAGCATCTGCCCTCGAGGACACTTGAGCTCAGCATAGTGGCCCAAGTCTGTAGTTCCAGTATTTAGGAGGCTAAAGCAAGAGAATCTCAAGTTCAAAACCAGACTGGGCTTCACAGCAAGACCATATCATGTTTCAGTTTTTTTAAAAAAATCAAATAAAAATTAAAAAAGCAAAAGAAAATATGTTTCAAAAGCAATAGACCCAAGCCCAGGGAATTTTAATCTTGTCATACTGGGAATTGCCATTAGGTGGCACTACTCAGTTTGAGCTTAATTTTTTTCTAACCAAAACCTCTATTAGTTACAAAAAAGGGGGGGAGGTGAAGGGATGTTTTGTTCTTTAAGATAGGTCTCATGTTGTCTAAGGGCTCCCTCTCCTCCTGCCTCTCTCCCAAATGTTAGGGTTAAAGGGTGGCCACCATACCCAGTTTACATCAGTCTCGGAATCACTAAGGGAGGCTGAAACACAAAGGGCTCAGACCATTTAGCACAGTATTTTCTGAGCTAAAAACAAGTATCAGCCAGGCAGTGATGATGCACATCTTTAATCCCAGCACTTGGGAGGCAGAGACAGGCAGATCTCTGTGAGTTCGGCCAGCCTGGTCTACAGAGTAAGTTCCATAACAGTCAGAGCTACACAGAGAAACCCTGTCTTAAAAAAAAAAAATAACAAAAACAACCCCCCCACAAGTATCAGAATCTCATTTCAAGTGAAACTCACTTGTTTGATTTTTAATATTTTATGTATTTATTTGGGGAACCTCACTGTCACCGTGGCTGGCCTTGAACCCCAAGTGACCCCACCCAGTTACAGCTCAGACCTTGTTCAGCTTCCGCTGTTGTTTCTGAGACAAGCTCTTAATAAAATCAACTCTGAACTTTCTAAGTAGCCCAGGTCAGCCTTGGAATTGTGACTTTCTTGCTCTGGCCTTCCAAGCCTAAGGGTATACACGACACCCGAACAGTTTTTGTTTTTATCTTGAAGACATGGTCTCCTGACCCAAACTGACCTTGAACTTTTATTTATTACCTATGCAGTATTCTTCTGTCTGCATGTATGCTTGCGGGCCAGAAGAGGGCACCAGATCTCATAGAGCTCATTACAGATGGTTGTGAGACACCATATGGCTGCTGAGAATTGAACTCGGGACCAGAGCAGCCAGTGCTCCTAACCTCTTAGCTGTCTCTCCAGTCCGCCCTTGAGCTTTTGATCCTTCAGCCTCCACGTTTTGAGTGCCCAGATTGCAGGGAAGCACATCACCGCATACCCATCTTATTTCGTGTTGGAGGTCAAACTGGGGCTTCATGATAGAGTCAAGCACTCTATCGACTAAGCAACATCACCAGTCTGTCTCAAGCAGGGTTGAGACCTAGGTAGCCCTGGCCAGCTTAATACTCCCTATTCTATCAGATACACGGGCTCTGAACCTGGGGGGCATGTGAGCAGGGGATCGGAGGACCTGGGGGGGAGTGTGAGCAGGGGATGGGGAGCTTGGGGGGCATCTGAGCAGGGGATCGAAGGACCTGGAGGGCCTGTGAGCAGGAGGTTGGAGGACCTGGGGAGGGGGGTGTTTGAGCAGGGGATGGGAGGACCTGGGGGACGTGTGAGCAGGGGATGGGAGGACCTGAGGGATGTGTGAGCAGGGGATTGGAGGACCTGAGGGATGTGTGAGCAGGGGATTGGAGGACTGTGGGGGGTGTGAGCAGGGGGGCGGAGGACCTGGGGGGGGCGTTTGAGCAGGAGATGGGAGGACTTGGGGGAGTCCCTCTTCCTTCCACATGAGTCTGGGGGGCAAACTCAGGTCGGCAGGTTTGTCAGCACTAAGCACCTTTACCTTGCCAGCACCCAAACAAAATCTTAAATCAAATAAAAGCAAATCTGACAAAGATGCAAATATATATATATATATATATATATGAAAAAAGAAAGCATAAATTAACAAGTGGTGCTGGCATAACTGGATATTAACATGTAGAAGAGTGAAAATAGACCCATATCTATCACCATGCACAAAACTCAAGTCCAAATGGATCAAAGAACTCAACATAAAGCCAGCCACACTAAACCTCATAGAAGAGTAGGTGGGAAGTACACTTGAATGCACTGGCAAAGGGAACCACTTCCTAAATAGAAACCCCAGCAGCACAGACACTGAGAGAAGCAATTAATAAATGGGACCTCCTGAAACTGAGAAGCTTCTGTAAAGCAAAGGACATGGTCAACAAGACAAAATGACAGCCTACAGAATGGCAAAATATTTTTACCAACCCCACATCAAACAAAGGTCTGATCTCCAAAATATACAAAGAACTCAAGAAATCAGTCACCAAAAAAACACATAATCCAATAAAAAAAAATGGAGTACAGACCTAAACAGAGAACTCTCAACAGAGGAATCTAAAATGGCTGAAAAACACTTAAGGAGCCGGGCGATGGTGGCGCACGCCTTTAATCCCAGCACTCGGGAGGTAGAGGCAGGCGGATCTCTGTGAGTTCGAGACCAGCCTGGTCTACAGAGCTAGTTCCAGGACAGGCTCCAAAGCCACAGAGAAACCCTGTCTCGAAAAACCAAAAAAAACAAACAAAAAAAAAAAAACACTTAAGGAAATGTTCAACATCCTTAGTCATCAGAGAAATGCAAATCAAAACAACTCTGAGATTCCATTTTACACCTGTAAGAATGGCCAAGATCAAAAACACTGATGACAACTTATGCTGGAGAGGTTGTGGGGAAAAGGGAACACTTCTGCATTGCTGGTGGGAATGCAAGCTGGTACAACCCCTTTGGATGTCAGTGTGGTGATTTCTCAGAAAATTAGGAAACTTTCCTCAAGACCCAGTGATACCACTGTTGGGTATATATCCAAAGGATGCTCAATCATGCCACAGGACATGTGCTCAACTATGTTCATAGCAGCTTTGTTTGTCATAGCCAGAACCTGGAAACAACCTAAATATCCCTCGACTGAAGAATGGATAAGGAAAATGTGGTACATTTACACAATGGAGTACTACACAGCAGAAAAAAATAACGACAGCTTGAATTTTGCAGGAAAATGGATGGAGCTAGAAAACATTATTTTGAGTGAGGTAACCCAGACACAGAAAAACAATTATCACATGTACTCACTCATAGGTGGTTTTTTTTTTTTTTTTTTAAATATTTATTTATTTATTATGTATACAATGTTCTGTCTGTGTATATGTCTGCAGGCCAGAAGAGGGCACCAGACCTCATTACAGATGGTTGTGAGCCACCATGTGGTTGCTGGGAATTGAACTCAGGACCTTTGGAAGAGCAGGCAATGCTCTTAACCACTGAGCCATCTCTCCAGCCCCCTCATAGGTGGTTTTTAAACATAAAGCAAAGAAAGCCAGCCTACAGCCACAATCCCTGAGAACTTTGACAACAATGAGGACACTAAGAGAGACTTACATAGATCTAATCTACATGGGAAGTAGAAAGTAGAAAAAGACAAGATCTCCTGAGTAAATTGGGAGCCTGGGGACCTTGGGGGATGATTGAAGGGAGGAGGGAAGGGGAGCAGGGAAAAATGTAGAGCTCAATAAAAATCAATAAAAAAAATAAAAGCAGGGCTGGAGAGATGGCTCAGAGGGTAAGAGCACTGACTGCTCTTCCAGAGGTCCCGAGTTCAATTCCCAGCAACCACATGGTGGCTCACAACCATCTGTAATGAGACCTGGTGTCTTCCTTACCAGCAGTACATTGTATGCTTAATAAATAAATAAATCTTAAAAAAAAATAAAAGCAAATCATTTTTTAGGTAGGCTAGGATCAGCTGAAGCTCCATGACACATGAGCCCAGAAGCAGGCAGCCTAGAGAACAGGAGCCGCTAAGGCTCAGAAATGTCCTCCATCACGGTGGTTGGCCAAGGCAGCAGCTGCTCTGTGACATACACACATCTCCCTAAAGATCTAAGAAGTGGAGCAATCCTTCCTACTGACAAGAGGATGAAGTCTCCACACTGTGGTTCATTCTCCGTTAGTAGGAGGCGGTGGGGGAAGCACAGGAGCAGACAGCTGTACAGTGGGGTGGGGCACGCAGGGTGGGGCATGCCTGGAATCCCAGCAACTGGGAGGCAGAGGCACCCATTCAAGTTACATGCTAGGACCATGTCACACACACACACACAGACACACACACACACACACACACGCACGGTTCACCACCAAGGGTTTAAAAAGTTTTTTATTACATTTCATGTATTTATTGTGTGTGCGCACACACCACAGCTCGTGTGGAGGTCAGAGGACAACTTGCTAGCATCCTTTCTCTCCTACTGGGTGGGTTCTGGGGATCAAACGCAGGTTATCAAGCTTGGTGTAAAGTGCCGTGACTTAGTAAAGTCACCTTCCTGGTTCTTAGCAGGTATTTTTGACCATTATTTTGGTCCATGTAAGGGGGAAGGGCAGTGTGTGTGTGTGTGTGTGTGTGTGTGTGTGTGCGCGCGCGCGCATGCGCGCGCGCGCCTGTCTGTCTGCATGCCTGTGTTGTGTCTGCTTGTGTGTACCTGTGCATGTGTGTGTATGTTGTTTCCTAAGTTATCTCTCTTTAGTCACCCTTAAAAACATCTAAAAACGTCTCTTACCTTGCAAAGCCAACTCCCCTGCTGGTCCCACTAGTGTCTCGAAGGATTCGGGTGGAGATCACCTGACCAAATGGCTTCAGCATTCCCTCCAGTTCCTGCTCATCCATCGACAGAGGGAGGTTTGAAATATATAGATTTGTAGGGTCTTGCTCCTGTTGCTATGAACATGAAAAGTAAAAATTGAGACTCACATCTTTATCCCATCCCACCCTCAGGAGCCAGTGGTGATAGTGCACTCAGGAGGCAGGGGCAGGTGGATCTCTGTGAGTTTGAGGCCAGCCTGGTCTACAGAGTAAGTTCCAGGACAGACAGGACCACACAGAGAAATCCTGTTTCAAGAAACCAAAAGTAAATAGCATTTGAGAAAAGAAACATTAAGGGGGTTCCAAATAAAGAGAATCTTAGCTGCTTATAATATCCAGTCCTATCATCACATACCATCTATCTAGCCCAGGAAGAAAAATTACAGTATTTACTATGTCTACTACTGCACAATCACTAATACAAGCCACCAGCAATGTTGGTGTCTCTATGAGATCCAGGTAGAGCAAAGGCTCCTCTTGCCCAGCTTCCTGACCAGAGATTACAGATTCCCTGGGACTGGGACCACCTTGCCAGCTCCATAGTTCTGAGTAATCTCTCCCCATTCCTTCTTAGCAGGCTTGTCTGAGTGGGTTCACCTGCCCACTCCTGGGTGGAAGGGAAGCAGGAGGGGGAGGAGGAAACAGAAAGGGCCAGGCACACTGCTCAGTGCTTTACCTGGGGCCCTGAGAGTCCAGTATCCTGGACGCCCAAGGCTAAGGTGAGAGGCTGCGCTTGGGGAGGGGGCGGTGATGGGGCTGAGGTCAGGGAGAGGGCGCGGGTGTCCTAGAGTACAGACTGCACAGTGGCCATTCTGCCCTGGGGCTGAGTTACAGACAGTTGTGAGCTGCCATGTGGGTGCTGGGAATTGAACCAGGTCCTCTGGAAGAGCAGCCAGTGCTCTTAACCGCTGAGCCTCCAGGGCTGTTTTTGTTTGTTTTTTGTCTTGTTGTTTTTTCCCATGTATATGCACGTGTGGCCTGGTTTTGAGACAGGGTCTCACTCTGCAGTCCTGGCCGGCCTAGAAGTTGCTGAGCCGCCAAGGATGAACTTGAACTCCTGATCCTTCTGTCTCCTTCTCCCAGGCTCTGTGATCACAGACATGTTACACGGCGCCTGTCTCCAGAGCTGTTTTCAAGACTATAAGTCCTCATGCTGCCTTCGTCAATAGTTCCCAGCAACCTTAATCTCAGTTCCAACTTCTCCTTCCTTTTTTCCTTTTTCTTTGAAATGTATTTATTTTGACTTTACATCTGTGGGTGTTTTGCCTGCAGGTATGTCTGTGTACCATGCGTATGCAGTGTTCATGGAGGCCTGAAGAAGGCATTGGATCCCCTGGAACTGGAGTTAGGATGGTTTTAAGGTACCAGGTGGGTACTGGGACCTGAACCCAGGTCCTGTGTAAAAGCAATCAGTTCTCCTCTCTCCAGCCTGCCTGCCTCCCTCCCTCCTCCCTTCTTCCTTCCATCTTTCCTTTCTTCTTTCTTTCTTTTGAGACTAGTTCTCAGTCTACGTTAGGCTGTCCTGGGACTCTCAGCAATTCTTCTTTGCCTCCCAAGTGCTGGGATCATAGGCCTGAGCCATCACACCCGACTTCATTTTCCTTTAACCATTAGAGAAAAGAACAGCTGTCTTGGGGCTGAGAGATGACTCAGCGGTTAAAGAGCACTGGCTGCTCTTCCAGAGGTCCTGGGTTCAATTCCCTGCCCCGCATGGGGACACACAACTGTCTGTAACTCCAGTTCCAGGAAGGGCTGCCTTACCAGCTCCTTCACAGTATCTCACAGATATTCACAGTATCTGAGACACCTCAGCAAGGCAGGGACTGTCCTCCCTTGAGGAAGGATACCACAAAGGCTTCTAGCTTTCTAGGGACTGACATGGAAAACAAGAGCGTACAAAATTCTCAGCTCCAGGGACCTCTACCCAAGAGACACAGTTCTCTTCCTTGCGGTCTCTAGGTCATCCGTTCCCCACCCCCTCCCAGCTCACCCCTGTCCTGTAGGAGCAGGGGCAGGCCTAGAACATTCTGCAGAGCCTGAGTTGCACAGCTGACTTCTTCAGAGAATGCTGCAAAACTGTTACCATCTGTCCCAGGGAAGTGGAGGAGGCAGCAGGGGGGCCAAGAGGCCTGGCTGCCTGTCTGCCACACAAAGGACAGTCTTCTCCAGCGGCTCAGCCTGTCTGTGTCCAGATGCTACCAGAAAGACGGCTCTGTGGTCCAGAGCACATTCTTGCAGAGGACCTGAGTCCAATTACCATTACCTACATGAGGTAGCTCCAAGCTGTGAGCGCGCGCGCGCGCACACACACACACACACACACACACACAAACAAATGCATACATACACACATATATACAAACACATACAAATGCACACACATACATACACATATGTGTACACACATATATACACACATACACAAACACACACATACACGCACATATACATACACACATACAAACACATATATACACACATACATGCACATACACATACATAGACACACATATATACACACATATACATACATACACACATACACACTCATGCACACATGCTGTGCAAGCTGTAGATAATTCTTGCTCATCAATTTCATATTTGGGAGGCTCCAAACCAGTACTTTGGTGCTGATGGTCACCCTGGAAAGGCACGTGGTCTTACCTTTGCCATTTGTGCCTGCACACCACTGGCTTTCAGTGCGGTGACAGCCTTCTGTGCCGCTGAGGGACTGTCAAAGTCCACAAAACCATAGCCTGGAACAGGGAAACAGCATCACGGGAGGTGGGAGGCCCAGGCTTTTCAGGAGACAGAGGAAGGGTTATGGTCCGTGTAAATGATGTCGCGGGAGAAAGAGAAATTGAGTGTGTTCAGGCGACTGTCCATGCGACCCCTCACCCAGAGGCTAAGGATGCCAAGGGAAATGGAGCCCTTTCTCCTTCTCACTAAAAACCTGGGACTTCAGACCTAAGGTATTAAATCCTAGACCTCAGGCACTGCTGAAGGACTCCCATCTTCTGACAGCCCCAGCAATGCCGGGCAGGGAGGAAGAGAGCAGGTAGAGCAGGGCAAGAGGAATGGATGGGAGCTGCCCTTCCCTACTCTTCCCACTGCTGCACCGAAAATGCTCTAACCCTCCATAGCTGCTCAGCACTGGAGAACACCTGTGGGCTGTCCTGTTTACAAAGGCAGGTAGAGACAATGTGTCCTGCGTCCATCCACGGAGACAAGGGAGCCCCAGGCAGTCTTCCGTGGTCAGACCCTAACAGCTCTTTCAGCTCCGGCTCTGGTTACCCAGGAGTCTAAATACCTATCATACCATATCATATCAGTCTGAAGGTCCCAAATCCCCAGCTCCTCCCTGGCACCAGGCACTCAGACTCCCAGCAGAAGGAGGCAGAGGTGAAGGCTGGATCCCGCAGCAGCCGCCCTTCTTACCTTTGCATTTGCTCGTGGTCTTGTCCAGGATGGCCTTGGTGGAGACAATCTTGCCATATCTGAGGGAAAGGAAACCACAAAGCCATGATCTGGGGACAGGGGCTAAGAAGAGGTCAAAGTGTCTCAAAAAAAAAAAAAAAAACAAAAACAAAAAAAGAACAGGACAGAGAGCCTGGCATAGTGGCGCACTCGGGAAGCAAGGCAGGTGGATCTCTGAGTTCAAGGCCAACCTGGTCTACAGAGCAAGTTTCAAGACAGCTAGAACTATACAGAGTAACCCTGTCTGTAAAAACAAAACAAAAAGACAAAAATTAATTTAAATTGCCATGTATATGTCTTTAAATTCCAGCACTCGGGGGGCAGAGGCGGGTGGATCTCTGTGAGTTTGAGGCCAGCCTGGTCTACAGAGTGAGTTCCAGGACAGGCTCCAAAACCACAGAGAAACCCTGTCTCGAAAAGCAAAACAACAACAAATGTCATCTGTGCAGTAAGTGGTAGCAGAGGCCTTTGACTCCAGCGCTCAGGGAACAGAAGCAAGTGAATCTGTGAGTTAGTAGACAGCCAGGTTGGTCTACGGAGTTGAGTTCTAGGCCAACCAAACCCATACAGTTTTGTCTAAAAAGAAAGAAAGACAGAAAAAAAAAAAGACTGTTGTTGTTAGTTTTTATCGCCCTGACAAAATGCCTGGCACAACCACCCCTTAAGGGAGAGGCAGTTTCTCTCTCTCTCTCTCTCTCTCTCTCTCTTTTTTTTTTTTTTTGGTTTTTCGAGACAGGGTTTCTCTGTGGTTTTGGAGCCTGTCCTGGAACTAGCTCTAGTAGACCAGGCTGGTCTCGAACTCACAGAGATCCACCTGCCTCTGCCTCCTGAGTGCTGGGATTAAAGGCGTGCGCCACCACCGCCCGGCTTTTTTTTTTTTTTTTGGTTTTTTTATGCTGGCGGTTTCTTTAGGTTCACAGTTTCATGGCAGAGAGGGTGAAGAAGCTCACAGCATGGGAAAGGAAGGGAGGGAAATAGGAACCCCACCTCCTCCCCTCCCCCTGCACCAGTGAGCATCCTCTCTTTCCCCTTCTATTCCACCCCACCCCAACCCCATCTAGGGGAAGGACTCCCAATATTCAGGAAAGATTTCCCTGCTTCCTTGTCACACCCAGACTGCTGTGGTTTCCATGGGAATGGCCCCATGTCCTGTGGCTGAAAACTTGGTTCCCAGCTGATGACACTGCTCTAGGAGGTGGAGGGGCACTGGACGAACGGGCAGCCGGGACTTTACAGCCTAGCCCCACCTGGCTGCCCTTAGCTTTGCTGATGTCAGTGTGACCAGCCATGGTGGACCGTGTCCTCTCAGACTCTGGCCGGACGGCCTTCTTCAGGAACTGCTTTCTGTCTGGTATTTATTATGGCAAAGAGGAAAGTAACAGCTATCCCGTGCTTTTCAGCCTAATCACGCCGATGAGACCAACTGTCGCATTGTCCTTAATAACCCTAACCCCTCAAAGGCACCAGATGAAATAAAGTCACTACACTACAGTCCCCCCGCTTTGGTTTTTTTTGAGACAGGGTTTCTCTGTGGCCCTGATTGTCCTGGAACTCAATTTGTAGACCAGGCTGGCCTCAAACTCAGAGATCTTCCTGCCTCTGCCTCCTGAGTGCTGTGATTAAAGGTGTGAGCCACCACTACCCAGCTAGCTTCTTTTTTTTTTTTTAAGATTTATTTATTTATTTATACAGTATCCTGCCTGTAGGCCAGAAGAGGGCACCAGACCTCATTACAGATGGTTGTGAGCCACCATGTGGTTGCTGGGAATTGAACTCAGGACCTCTGGAAGAGCAGTCAGTGCTCTTAACCACTGAGCCATCTCTCCCCCCCTTCCCCCCACAACTAGCTTCTTGATTCTACTTTTCTTTCAGACAAACACATTCATCCTATTAAAAATAATAAAATAAGCCAGGCGGTGGTGATGCACGCCTTTAATCCCAGCTCTTGGGAGGCAGAGGAAGGCAGATCTCTGTAAACTAGAGGTCAGCCTGGTCTACAGAATGAGTTCCAGGGACAGCCAGGGCTACACAGAGAAACCCTGTCTTGAAAGCCCCCCCAAAAAGTAATGATAATAATAAAATAGGTGCTGCAAAGACTGTTCACTGGTTAAGAGCACTGGCTGCTCTTCCAGAGGACCTGGGTTTAATCCCTAGCATCTAAATGACAGCTCGTAACTGTCTGTGACTCCAGTCCCAGGATATCTGACATTCTCTTCCGGCCTCTGTGGGCACCAGGCATGAATGTGATACACAGACATGTATATACAGGCAAAATATCTATACACATAAAAAATAAAATTAAAGCGAAACATTTTGAAAATAATGAACCTCTGTTCCTCTGAGCCCCTCTTTCCAGCACCCAGCTGATGTCTTATGTGCGCACCAGCCTGATCCAAACTGTTCTGGCTCACATCTGGTTCTGCTGCCTTTCCACCGTGTGACCTTGGACAAGTCCTGTGACCTCCTGTGTCTCAGCTGGCCTCACCATCGCAACCTTCTCCCAACATATTTCAGAGTCAGCAGGTCACTGCCTGTGCTCTCTGACCTGGCTTTCCATCCCTCTGCCACCTTCATGAATGAGTTAAATCAATCTGTGGCTTGCTTTCAGTCTACACTCACGAGGTCTGTGTTTTTCAGCATTTTGGAAATCCTTGCTGGCGGCAGGGGCCCCGCGCAGCTCCCAGCGCTTGAGCCCTGCAGCTCTCGCGTTGTGTTAGAGGCATCACTAGAAAAGCTGCTACATTCTACTCCAGTGTTGTGAACAGAGCGGACAGAATAGCAGCCACGGCCAAGGTCAAAAGAACAGCGGCAGCTGTGGTGAGACAGAGGGGGGTGGGGACCAGGACAGGACAGGGACTGGGGATGGACGGGACTGCAGTTGGGATGGAAACTAAATGAAAAAATAATGTTATTTAAATAAAAAAATTAAGAAAACAAGAAGAGGGCTGAACAGAAACAGTTGGCAGGAACTAAGTTTGAGACTAAACAAGCATTAAATAGATATCTCCTCTTATTCCTAAAGCTGGGATGACTGACTGGTTGGTTTCCACTCTCTAGCTGCCCATCCTCCACCCCAACCTCCCAACCCCTGCCCCGCCGACTTTTTCAGGGGAGCTTCTGGGACCTAAAGGATTAAGCCAGGGAACGCTCTGGAGGTTGGGAATAGAACGTGTTAAAAGGAGGTGGGGACCGCTGATCCTGGGGTCTTTTGAGGCTCCATACTTGGATTCTAGCCCAAATTTAAGCCAAGATGGAGGGGAAGTGCTGTCCGCCAGAGGACACCCAAGATGGTATCCCCATCAAGGCCCCAGGGTGGAGCCTGCTGTGGTCGAGCAGCCTGAGACTCTGAGCCAGAATTTCCAGTGCAGCTGGCAACAGCTGGGTCACAGCTTCCCATCCTCAGAAGGAGCCCCTGCAATAGTTCCAATCCCAGGCCACACCTCCCCTCCAGCCCCAGGCCACACCTCCCCTCCAGCCCCAGGCCACACCTCTCCTCCAGCCCCAGGCCACACCTCTCCTCCAGCCCCAGGCCACACCTCTCTCCTCCAGCCCCAGGCCACACCTCTCCTCCAGCCCCAGGCCACACCTCCCCTCCAGCCCCAGGCCACACCTCTCCTCCAGCCCCAGGCCACACCTCTCCTCCAGTCCCAGGCTACACCTCTCTCCTCCAGCCCCAGGCCATACCTCTCCTCCAGCCCCAGGCCACACCTCCCCTCCAGTCCCAGGCTACACCTCTCTCCTCCAGCCCCAGGCCATACCTCTCCTCCAGCCCCAGGCCACACCTCCCCTCCAGCCCCAGGCCACACCTCTCCTCCAGCCCCAGGCCACACCTCCCCAGCCCCAGGCCACACCTCTCCTCCAGCCCCAGGCCACACCTCTCCGTCAGGCCCACTTGAGTTTGGGTCTCAGCAACCCAGGAAGAGATCACTGGGACAAAGGCAGGAAGTCCTTCTGAGCAGGAGAAACATCCTTCTTAGAGAGGCTCAGCTCCCTGCTCCCCGCAATCAGGCTCCACCCAACCCGTTCCTTCTCTGCTGCACTTCACGCCTCCATTTTTCTTTGACTGATTTTTTTTTCTTTTTGAGACAGGGTTTCTCTCTCTAACAGCACTAGCTGTCCTGGAACTTGCTCTGCAGACCAGACCGGCCTTGAACTCACAAAGATCTGCCTGCCTTTGCCTCCCGAGTGCTGGCGTACACTACCAAGCTGTTCGAATGATTTTTAAAAAGATTTCTTTTATTTTCAAATATGCGTGTGTCTGTGTGGCCATGCTCCTGTGACTACCGGAGGCGCTGGGCTGCAGGTACAGGCAACTGAGCTGCGCAATGTGAGATCAAACTCAGATCTTTAATAGCAGTTTACGAGCCCAGCGAGCCAGCTGGTGGTGGCGCACTCCTTTAATTCCAGCCCTTGGAAGGCAGAGACAGGTGGATCTTGTTAGTTCGAGGCCAGTCTGGTCTACAAGAGCTTGTTCCAGGACAGGCTCCAAAGCTACAGAGAAACTGTTTCCAAAACAAACAAAAAAACAACAACAAAAACCAGTTTATGCTCTTAACCATTAAACCATCTTTCTGGCTCCCTGATGTTTTTTGAGACAGGGTCTCATTCTGTAGTCCTGACTGGCCCTTCCCACTCCTTTTCTCGACTCCTAACTCCATCCTCCATGCTGACCATGGGAGGGCAAATGAAAGCCGAAAAGAGCAGGGAAGTTTCTTAGACCAGAATGTAGCATCTGGGCAGAGGGCTTGCGGCTACAAGGCCTCAGGTTTGCAAGGCAGAGAAGGTCTCTGAATCCCGAACCTTCTTGACTCCATTTCCTGAATGCTGAGATTACAGGCATGGACCACTATGCCTAGTAGGAAACCCTTATAGTATTATCTACCATATTTCTAGTATATAGCTACCCAGACGGGTACCCTGTGAGCCAGCAATATACCCAGCATGAATATGTTCATAAGCACACACCAAAGCATAGGTTCCTGGCACACTGTTTGCATCCAGAATAGCCACAAACTGGTTACAGTGCCAACATTTACAACAGAACGGGCGATTCTATACAGCAACAGCTAGTACAGGAGACTGGAGAGACAGCCCAGGGCTTGAGAGTACTGGCTACTCTTCCAGAGAACCAGGGTTGGATTCCTAGCATCCATCCGTCAAGTGATTCACACCTGTCTGTGACTCCAGCTCCAGGACACCCACACATGTGGTACATATAAACTCACACAAGCACATACAAATACAGATAAATAAAACTATAGCCAGGTATGGTGGTACATGCCTTTAACTCCAGAATCTGAGAGGCAGACACAGGAGAACAAGGAGTTTAAGGCCAGTCTAGACTATATGATACCATGTTTAAAACACATACACACACACACACACACACACACAGAGATATGCACACCATAGAGATTACTGGCATGTCTGTTGAGGGCCTCAGCCATCGTGAGCGGTGCTGCCCCGGCCTGGGATCCAGGACTACATAAGTGGAGAAAGGGAACAGAGTGGCAGCAGGGATGGTTTTCCTTTCTTCCCCGCTGTGGGTGTGACCAGCAGCCTCCAGCTGCCTCACCTGGACTTCTCCAGCTTGAGGAAGATGCCTCAAGCTGTGTGACAAAAGAAGCCTTTTCTCAAGGTGATTTTGCTTGAGGCCAGCCTAGGATCCGTGAGAGGCTGTCTCAAAACAACAAAGCCAAAAAAGCAGCAACAAGAAAGAGTTCTGCATGCGTTGTGACCCTGCTGTGACTGCATGCCGTGGATGTGAGGGAGAAACATGCAACTGTCGCAGTTCAGCTAAGAGCATGTGACAGACAGGAAGCCAGCGATGGCAAATCTGTGCTGGCCCTGGAAGCCTTCCCCGGGGACCACGACTCACGGCTGACAGAGCTTGACAAGGTCCTGGTCGGTGGTGCCCGGCTGCAGTCCTCGGATGTACAGATTGGTTTTGCTCAGCTGCTCACTGCCGCTGCTCCCACTGCTACTATTAGGGGTACTGTTCCTGGGACTGGGCGGTGCCATCTGCTGAGACAGTGACACATACGGCTGCAGGGAGACATGAAGATCAGGTCAGGAAGATTCTACACGTTGGAGAAAGCAGTACCAGCAATGCATTCAGAAGGGGAATAAAAGAGGAAAAAGAATGATTGACGGGCCAATGAGATGGCTCAGCCAACCTACTGAGCGGAGCTTGGTGCACATGGGGGAAAGCTGACCCACACACACGCACACATACGTGAACACACACAATAGATACAGAAAATATAAAAGCTATAGCCAGGCGGTGGTGGCGCACACCTTTAATCCCAGCACACGGCAGGCAGAGGTAAGCAGATCTCTGTGAGTTCGAGGCCAGCCTGGTCTACAAAGCTAGTTCCAGGACAGAGGGCTACACAAAGAAACCTGTCTCAAAGAACAAAAAAAAAAAAAAACAAAAAAGATGGGTGTGATGTTACACATTTGGAGGGAGAGGCAGGGGGATGATCTCTATGAGTTGGGAGTCAGCTTGGTCAGCCTGGGTAACAAAGCAAACTCCAGGCCAGCCAAGGCTCCACAGTGAGACCCTGTCTCAAAAACCAAACAACAATAAAAGAATCTAAGAGAGAAGAAAAGTGAGAAGTGCCCTTAAGTAACACTCATCTGGCTTCCCAAAGGAAAGGACTTCGGAAGCCAGTGCAAACCAAACTATGCTCACCTATAGGTAAGAGAGAAAACACGTTGTATGTGTAAGCAACCAGGGAGCCGGAATACTCTTACTGCAAGAAGGAAGAATACAAAAAGCTTTGTTTTGCTCAACGCCCTACACTGAACTGTCGCAACTCAAAACTATTTTGTGTTGTTTTCTGTTTGGAGCAGGATCGAGGCCAGCCTGGTCTACAAAGCTAGTTCCAGGACAGAGGGCTACACAAAGAAACCTGTCTCCCAGGGTGTTCTTAAACTCCTGCTCCTCGGCCTTTGTTTTCTCAGTGCTGGAATTATGTGTGTGCAACCAGACACACCAGGTTACAGTTCAAAACTCTGGTAGCCACTCATTTGCCGCCAAATTCATTTTTTTTTGTTTTTGTTAAGATTTATTTATTGGGGCTGGAGAGATGGCTCAGAGGTTAAGAGCATTGCCTGCTTGCACACAAACAGAATATTGTATACATAATAAATAAATAAATGATTTAAAAAAAAGATTTATTTACTGTGTAAACAGTATTCCGCCTGCACGTGTGCCTGCAAGCCAGAAGAGGGCGCCAGATCTCAGTACAGATGGTTGTGAACCACCCTGGGGTTGCTGGGAATTGAACTCAGGACCTTTAGGAGAGCAGCCAGTGCTCTTAACTGCTGAGCCTTTTCTCCAGTTCACCAGATTCATTTTTGACCTGGGGCCCTTAACTTCATTATTAACCAATCACCAGGGCCAGAGAAAAATCCTTCCCATACATGAAGCCTACGTTCCTGGTGCGTAGTGAGCCGGAACTTAGGAAGATGAGAGAAATCAGCTTACGGAGTAGCTTCATTCCATACTTAAAGCTAAACAGTTTCACAGATGGACCAGGGATCCGACTTTATGACTGCAACCGCCACCTGGATATAAATGATCCCTACACGTGTCCTGAAGCTTGGCCTATATGGCATGTAACACAGATGAATGTTTTTGCTTGGGTTCCAAGTCATAATATCTCCTAATAAGAGAAGGTGCACCCTCGCTGGAGTAACAGATTCCCAGTGCTTGCTCACAAGACCCTCCAGGCTATTTCAGGCTTCGACGAACCCTTGACTTGCCAACTCCATGTGAGCACTGATTGGTCTTGTGAGAAATGATAGATTAATTAAATAACTGGAATATTTCACAATGCTTTTTAATTTGTGCAGGTGCTAGGCAAGGACTAAACCTCAGTGTTTCTGACTTTTAATTTTGAACCATGGGCTAAATTGCCCGGGCAGGCCCTCCCACTTCCAAAAGTCAACCTGGTAAACTGCTGTGGAATATTCCTTTGCACTGTGTGAATACATGTTGCTGTGATTGGTTTAATAAACAAGCTGACAGACCAAGAGCTGAACAGAAGAAGATTAGGCAGGAAAGCCAAACTGAGAATGATGGGATGAGGAAGGGCAGATGCAGAGGGAGCAGGAGATGAACACACCATGTTAATAAGGTCCACCACATTGCAGAGCAGAAATAAGAAATATGGGTTAACTTAAAATGTAAGAGCTAGGCTGGGCACTGGTGGTGCATGACATTAATCCAGCACTAAGGAGGCAGAGGCAGGTGGATCTCTGTGAGTTTGAGGCCAGCCTGGCCTACAGAGCTAGTTCCAGGACAGGCTCCAAAGACAGAGAAACCCCATCTGGAAAAACCAAAAAAAAAAAAAAAAAAAGGAAGGAAAGAAAGAAAGATGTAAGAGCTAATAGAGAGATACCTTGCTCAGTATAGACACGGGGGAAGGAGGGAAGGGGTCTTGGTCAAGCCTCAACCAGGTAATGGGACAGACTTCATTGAATGGGTGAATGGGGGGGTGAGAGAAATGTGGGGGGAGTGGAATGAGGGGAGGGAAGGAGAACTGGGATTAATACACAAAATTTAAAAAGTTAAAAAGTAAGAGCTAGTTAGTAATAAGCCTGAGCATTGACCAAGCATTTATAAGTAATATTAAGCCTCTGTGTGTATATTTGGAACTGGGCTGTTGGGACATGGAGATGTCTGTTTACAGTAAATCAGTGGGTTGTATTGGGGTTACTTACAGGAGAGTGAGTGAGGGGTTATTTCACCCCAGCCCACCCCAGCACAGAACTGGATCAGGAAAGGTAGACACCTGGAGCACACTGTATAACCTACAGGCAACTTAACAGGTTGGTGGGGGTGGTATGTGTGTGTGTGTGTGTGGTGTCTTCTCCAGGAGATTGGTTGGTCTGAGCTCTGAGCCTGTCCTGGCTACCTTTGCTGTCTGAGAACATCTCTTCATGGTCCTCACAACTTATCTAAGCCTGTGTGAACTTATTCGCACAACCCAGGGTGACTTCAGATTCCTCCCTCATGGGCTGAGTGCACAATAGTGCCCGGCCATAGTGTATTTAAACACACTCCTACCAGGAGTTTACAAATTAGACCTCACAACCTGGAAAGGCAGCGGAATGAAAAGCGTGTGCTAGTGAGGATACAAGCAAAATGACAAAAGAGCAAGATGGAATAGGTGGTTCCCGAGAGAAGTTTCCCTTGAAAGGACAAGCAGAAAAAAACATGAGCTCAGAAGCCAGTGTCCGGACACACAATCACCCTGTGCTGGCCGGTGTCAAGTCAACTTGAACAAGAGAGTCATCTGGAAAAGGGAGAAGATGCCCCCACTACACTGGCCTGTGGGTGCGCCTACGGGGGTTTCTCTTGATTAATGATGGATTTGGGAGGCCCCAGCAGCCCACCGTGGGTGGTCCCGCATAGGACAAGGAAACAGGCTGAGTAAGCCCTGGAGAGCAAGCAGGTAAGCCACATGCCACCATGGTCTCTGCTTCAGTTCCTGGCTCCAGGTGGTCATGGTGTCCTAGCACAGCAACAGGAGCCTTTCACACCTGCTGAGATGGTGACAATGACGCACAAGGAAGGGCCGGTGAGGGTGCAAAGAACCAAAAATTGTGTGCACTGCAGGTGAGACAGCAAAACAAGGCGGTCGCTCTTTTGTGCTTGTACATTGCTCGAGACAGGTCCTGTGAAGCCCAGGCTTGCTGCAGCGGGATAATCTTTTTGTACATTGTAAAGATGTGTCTCTGCCTAATGCCATCTCTCCAGCCCTTGTGATTGGTTTATTTGTTTACTTATTTATTATGTATACAATAGTCTGTCTGTATGTCTGCAGCCCAGAAGAGGGCACCAGACCTCATTACAGATGGTTGAAAGTCACCATGTGGTTGCCGGGAATTGAACTCAGGACCTTTGGAAGAGCAGGCAATGCTCTTAACCACTGAGCCATCTCTCCAGCCCTTGTGATTGGTTTAATTAAGAGCTGAGTGACCTGGAGGGATGGCTCAGAGGTTAAGAGCACTGACTGCTCTTCCAGAGGTCCTGAGTTCAATTCCCAGCAACCACAGGGTGGCTCACAGCCACTTGTAATGAGATCTGGTGCCCTCTTCTGGCCAGCAAGCATACAAATAGACAGAACACTGTATACATAATAAATAAATAAATAAATAAATAAATACATAAATACATAAATCAATCTAAAAAAAAAAGAGCTGAGTGACCAATAGCTGGGCAGGAGAGAATAGGCGGGAACTCAGGCTTAGAATCTAGGTGCAGAGGAGACGCCAGGGAGACACTGATGAGGTCAGACATACAGTACAGAGTAAAGGTAATCGAGCCACGTGGCAAAATGTAGATTAATAAAAGCAGGTTAATTTAAATTATAAGTGATATGGGATTCTCCTCTGTATGCTGTGAATATCATTGGGGGAGGGGGAGGGAAATGGGAGGAAGGGAGAGGGGGTGAAAATTTTTTTTTTTTAAACTGGATGTTTTTTTTTTAATTTTTTTTTATAGTTTATTTTATGTGCATTGGTGTGAAGGTGTCAGATCCCCTGCAACTGGATCTTCAGACAGTTGTGAGCTGCCATGTGGGTGCTGGGAATTGAACCCAGGTCCTTTGGAAGAGCAGTCAGTGCTCTTAACCACTGAGCCATCTCTCCAGCCCCAGATTTTTGTATCTTTGGTCCCAGAAGTTCAGAGGCAGCGTCAGGGGCTCAGTGGTGGTGATCTGGGCAATATATATATGCGCACACACATATATATACACACATATGTATGTATGTATATATATAATACACACACACTAAATAAATGAACAAATGAATGAATGCAAGAAAGTGAGGCAAAGGTACCCTTTCTACTTTGGTTTGTGTAATGAAGAAGGGGAATTCCAGCCCTTTCTCAAGGTTACACAATTGCTATGGAATGCAGTCTCGCTCTGAGTACACGCGTGTACGCTGTGTACGGTGTGTACGGTGTGTATCCTGTGCACGCATTCACGCTTGAGTAATGGTGCTCGCGGGCCACGCTGTGTATGTGGAGG